GTTCCTCTTGCCAGCGTGCCGCAACGAGGGAGCCATGTAAGACCATGATCATGGCAGATGCTGGTAGAGGCAAGACCATGCTGTGCAGACGGGTAATGGCAGATTTCGTATACAAGGAAAGAGACGATGCTGCCACTGCTACTGATGATCTACGTGATCAGTTTGACTTTGTCATTCCCATCTGTGTGCAAGATGAAGACAGCCTTTCCACAACAAGTTGGAGTGACTTTCTCGGTTTTGACCAACTCGAACTGACCGGAGTGTTGAACAAAGATGAGAGGGAAATCGTGCTGAAGCATTTGTGGGCAAATTCCAGCCGTGTCCTCCTCATCATTGATGGTGTTGACGAGAGCAGCGCAGATGCTTTCCGCTACAACTCAGCCGCACGTGCTTTCATGGAGGGCGAGAAGAGCATGCTAATGGATGCTTCCGCCATCATCACCAGCCGCCCATGCCAACAGGCATACGAGATTGTACCAGACTGCGCCATGCACTATCGACTTGGTGGATTCAGCGAGAAACAGCTGCATGAATTTGTGTGCAGTCGACTGGGAGAGGAAGACGCCATGGCATGCATGTCAGAGCTCAGACAACCGGCCTACAAACATATGAAACAAGCAGTGCAGAGCACGCCACTACTGGCCACACTACTTTGTCAGCAGTACTTTCTCTCTAACAGTGTTCCTGCATGCACTACTCTGTTCTATGTACAGTACCTGTGCTCCGCCATTGCACGACTGGAGAAGAAGCGTGGTGCCACTTTCGGCAATGTGTCATTGGCACGCGCAGTCCAGAGTGAGTTCTGCGGAGGACGGCTATTCGAATGTGGCGAGGAGGTAAGCCTGTACACTGTTGTTGAACATCACCTTGAAGAGTTTGTAAGAACTGACAGGCCAAGTGAATGCAATGCTGAGTGTGTGGAGATAGTGCGAGCTCTTTCCGCTTTTTACAAGCTTTGTTTAGAAGGTCTTCGTAAGCGGTCCTTCTCCTTTCCAGCAGCTGCTTTGCCAGAGGCTGCTGTGTGCAGGTGTCTAGATCTTGGCTTACTCTTTCAGAACAGAGACCGGAGGTCATCCTACCGAGGCCGAGTCACCATCACCCTCCCACACATAACAATGCAAGAGTGGTGTGCTGCACGTGCGTGTGCCTCGGAACTGAATTCAGTTAGCAGCGCTAGAGAGTGTTTGGGAGACTTTGGCTTGGAGAAGGAGAGGTGGGAGTTCTGGAAGTTCTTTGTCGGCACAGCTCGGAGTGATGTCTTGGATGAGATATTGGCTGGAATGAAGAATTCATCGTCATTCGCTGGATCCTTAGCAAAGAGGTTTCGGCTTTTCCTTATGCGATGTTTAATGGAACACCGCCTGTCAACAGGAAAATTAGGCTCAACCTCGACTTCAATCCCGCCGCAGTCGTTCACTTTTGCCAAGGAATCTGTGAATGTATCTGGTATGACCCTTGATGACACAGACATCAAATCTGTGTGTAGTGTATTGGAGGTTGTGGAGAATGGAACTGTTGATTCTCTTAATCTGGAAGGCTGCAATTTGAAGGAGCATCAAGTAGCAGAACTTTCACCACTTCTGGAAAAGGCTCGTGTTGTAAACATATCTTCCAATCCACTCAGTGGATTTCCGCTGAAGAGCATTTCAGATCAGCTGAAGGTGTCAACAGGCGTCGATAACCTGATGCTGAAACACATTCATCTTACTGAAGCAGAGCAAGATGAAGCATCACTGGCAGCGTGCTTCATGCATTCCTCCTTGACAGCAATGACACTGAGAGGTTGCAAACTAGACAATGTGCGTTTGGCGTCATTAGCTGAGAACATTTCCTTGTGTTCCAACCTCAAAGTGTTGTCACTGGGAGAGAGTTCTTTTGGTTACGGGTGCGGGACAGATCTAGCTCGGCTCATGACCAATTTGCCCAATCTGCAGACTGTATTCTTGGATGCCATTGGCCTTGGTGATGATGATCTTGGAAAGGTTTTGTCAGCGCTCAGCGTCCATCATTCCATAGCCAAATGCAACTTTACCAACAATCAGCTCAGCGACACAATTAGTGATCATCTGCTACGCTTCTTTCGCAGTCGACGTTCTCAGGAACAGGAGCATAGTGCCGGTGTCGAAGCAGCTACACCATCTTCACAACCAACCCAGTGTGAAATCCTGCTAAGCGGAAATCCTGGGGTTACACTCTCCCTGCTTGAAAAGCTGGCTCAGTCTGGAGTATGTGGCAACGATGCCGTGCACTTCAGTTGCTGGTCTGTCACATCCACCTCGGTCATCCGTAAAAGTGTACCAACACTGGTCAGCGAGCATGGTGGCTATCTGCTTTGCTTTGTACCAGATGAATCCATGGCTGAGCTGGGAGAATTCCTTGTGACCGACTCTACCCTGAAAGAACTGCACCTCGCTCGCAACCAGCTAACTGACATTGGCGTTCGTTGCATGGTGATGTATGGGCCCAGCCAATACCAGTATATCCGTTACCTGAACCTTGATGGTAATAACATACACCTGAGTGGAGCTGCTGTTCTTGTTGACGCCTTCAGAAACTCAGCACTGCTAGTTCTAAGGTTGGACAGGAATCCTCTCTTCTACGGCGCTGACACAATGTCAACCGACTATGCTCTCTTCTTCTCTAGCCTGGCAGAGCTCAAGCCTCTGAAATGCATCTCGCTGCAGAGGACAGGGGCTGATATGAGCATCGCTGAGAAGCTTTTCGACACTCTGCGACCACTGTCGGTAGTCTTTCTCAACCTGGGTGAAAACCAGCTTGGAGATGATGTCACCACACTGCTAGTATCCCTGCAAGAGTGCAACCCCTCCATGGAGATTATAGATCTGGAGAAGAACAGCATCACTGACAGTGGAGTGACCGTTCTGACCAGCTGTCCAGCCATCATGGATATGGAACGAGTGCTTCTCTCTGGCAACCGCATTGCAGAGCAAGTAGTGCCGAGGCCACTGTTACTGGCAGAACACTGCTATGCCCCTCAGTTTTTGGTAGACATTGCAGAAGAGCATGATCATTGATTCAGCAACTGGTCGTTCAGGGACATAGCTTACTGAGTGTGGTGCAGCATGTCCCCACAGTCTTTGGCCGGCTATGAACAGAACGTAGAATCATTTACAATCATGTACATGTACACCAACACTGGCAATGCTGTACCTGCATGTAGCTGCCAGATGAAGGAGTCCCTTGCACATTAACAGAATTGGACTATGGAAGGACTGTTACTGTTACTGTGAGTAGCAATTGTAACTAAGGCAACCACTGCAGCTGTAGTATCTATAGTAGCCATGGTAATCATTGTAGCTATGGCAACCATTATAGTTATGGTAACCATGACAGCTGGAATCCCCTGTGTGCCTACTCAATCTGTGTGGAAGTTACTAGTTACTATACGTGTTCTGAATCATGAAATGTGCTTGCATTGCCTTTTATACTTCCAGGTCTACAGATAAAATAGACAGTTTGCAAGTGAAAATTTAGATTTGTATTTTCAACTTACTGAGCTTCTTTATAATTATTATCTGTATACTTGTTGCATAACTTGTACATTATCAGTTCTCGCTGTGTGCGAGGCCTCGAGGGCTGCTATGATCGTGCACGGCCTTTTAATATTTCCTGAAAACACCCAGTCACTCAATCAATCAAACAGAACTCCCTGTCCTTGATCTGATGCTGCGCTTGACTTGATGATGATTTCTGTTATATATTTACTGGTAAATATTCATGCTTTGGATATACATGTATAGCCTTTGGACCGTTTGAGATTTTCCGGCGCCCCGATAAAACCCATAAGTAGAAGATCAGGCAAAAATATTCGAATTATAATTTATGTTAAAGAGAAAAGCACAACCAAGCTTTCTCTAGATCGAGGCATTTGGTGCATTATATTGCAGTGCCAGCATGAAAGGACATTCCGTAGGTACTTCTTCGCCAAAATATATAGAGGTACATGACTGCATGTCGGTGTAGTCTTGGCAACTACATGACTACAAGGAATTGTACGGTGTAACACTCTATTTTAGTAAACAGCAAAGATCAAGACAAGAGCACCGAATATGATCCGGAAAGGGCTTCCCTCTTCATCGGTCATGGCAAACAGTGAGTAAAATTTGGTTTGCCATTCTGCATACCTGCACTTGCAAATGAAACAAAGGAGCAGATGAAGCAAATGACACTGCTTAGTCCAGTTTGTCAGAGCTGAGCAAGATTGAGCTATAGACTTAGACATTTTAACACATGATTGTGTTATTGGTAGTCCTTGCAGCGGAGACTTTCTACACACAAGTTCCCGCTGGTATGATCCAATACTGCCACGAGTCCTTAAATTTGTTTTAACACCACTGTGTGACAAGGACATGCATGGCACGTGGTCCCATGGAAGCCCGCACCGAGAAATCGCGGCATTGAAATCGGACTAACCGGACACTGATTAATACGCAGAATGATCTATTACTACATGTACAAGAAGCCAGGACGAAGTATCTTGTGACAGGCAATGCTTGCAAGACAGGCGGGGATTACATAAGGAAAATATGAGACATACTCATGAAGAGCAGATTCTGCTGTCTTCATTCAAACCAGGGAGTACTAAAAAACAGTTTCTAGTACCCCTGGCTCTAAGTGGATAAGCAAGCTAGCTGGCAGCTAAACGCTCTAAGTGGATAAGCAAGCTAGCTGGCAGCTAAACGGCCACGAATAAGCAAGCACAAGAAAGAAAGAAAAACTCGTCAAAAATTGCCTACAAGTAAATAAATCTAAACTAAATGCTACAGGAAATACTGCTGTCTACGAAATAAAGGCGAAGGAATAGAGTTGAATGGTGTGTATGTTTGAACGTGATGATGAGTGATTGGGTGACATGAGCCGGGAAATACTCCAGTACTGTTGGTAGGGAGTTGCGATGATGGAAAGTGTGATATGTCTGTGTAGCCGAGTGTCGGATAAACGAGTGCGGATGTAACACGAGCATCAAACCGAGTACGACGCACAAGTAGAATGTCATGTGACATGTGTCGTACTTCGGATTCAGAGACACCAGCACAATAGAGAGGTGCTGGCCGTACAGTGGAACTTGAAAGATTATCTATCCAGAGCAGGGCACGTCTTAGTCGTTGCTGAATATGGGGTTCAGCCAGAAGCTGCCAGGCAGGAGAATAATCCAGTCTAACTTTTTAAAAAAATTAAAAAAATCCGACGGGTTCGCGTACCGTAACTTATGATCAGTTGAAAATCAGTTATATAAGAACAGGGTGCTCTACTTGTTCAGGTGAGCGACATAAATAACCGCTTCTATAATGTACCCTTGAAGTGAGAAATGGAAGAGAAATCTATAGACGAGAAAACGCGCCCGTGCAAGTATACTGTATACAAATAGGCTAGTCGGATAGATGGCCTAGCTCTCCACGAAGAAAAACATTATGTTTTGTTTACCTGCATCAGACTTAAGAGTCTTGACATGGGGAACGTCGCCTGTGTAGTGGCCATGGCAGGGAACATCTAAAACCGTGCGTGGCGGAAATCAACAACAAGATGGGGATTTCCCCGTTCCAGTTGTGACTGACAACAACAAGATGGGGATTTCCCCGTCCCAGTTGTGACTGATAACAACAAGATGGGCATCTCCCCGTTGCAGTTGTGACTGACAACAACAAGATGGGGATTTCCCAATTGCAGGTGTGACTGACAACAACAAGATGGGGATTTCCCCATTGCAGTTGTGACTGACAACAACAACAACAAGATGGACATCTCCACGTTACAGTTGTGACTGACCGACTGACTGGCGGGCTGCCGAGCATGGCCAGCTACTTGGTTTTCACTGCTCGCTGGTACAGGTCGACGTACGCCTTCTCCAGCGTCTCGTCGAACAGCTGGCGGTGTGACCGTCCCGTGTACTGCGACATCTGCTGAGACCAGTAGGAGTTGTCGGAGATGCGTACCGGGCTGCAACAAAAAAAGCACAGTTCGTGTTACACTGAGTTCGACTGAGCTTTCCGCATCCATGGGGACACCACCACCCTCAAAAATCAAAGGCGCAGTTGCAGCTCCTGAAGCTGCGAGGGGGGGGGGGGGGGTAGACCGGGCTGCGAACATGATTGTGCAATATTGAACAGCAGTGCAGAGAGAACGATCAGCAACAGAACCCAGTCAGGAGTATCACACACTGTTCAAGATCATAGTGAAACAAGGTGTTCACATGATTATCATGGCAGAGATCATGGAGTACATGTATATCCAGATAGAAAGTTGTCTAAGGTCATCAAGCTGCGCATATATATATACACTAGCAGCACCCCAGGCCAGCGCTGCCTGGCCGAATGTGGTATGCGGGTGAAGCAAGTACATGAACAGCACACTTGCTCAGCACGTGGTGGTGGCCAGACCGCTGAAGTCCTGGTGAGGGAGGTTCTTCATCGTTGGAAGGAGCTAAGAGGAGGGATGTCTGTTACGCCTTCGGGAGGCTGGTCAGGGTTGTCCATCACCTGGTGGCGGATGAAGCGGCTCAAAAAATTCATAAACTCACGAACAAAAGTGCGATGCGCTCTTCACTGCAGATCAGATGCAGAGTGCATGCAGTCAGTGCAGATCTTTTGTATCCGTTTGTTGCAGATGTTTCTATTTGCAGAGAACGGTTCACGTGGTCCGCAGCGCTTGTGCGGCTGCTAGTGCTACCTAGTACCTATGGCCTAGGCTAGGTGGCTACATGATTCGCACGCTTCGCGTGCTCAGTGCTTCTGCGCGCGGCTGCTACTGCTACTCGTACTGATCGTGTCTGCTACCACCTACACTGTTCGCACGCTTCGCGTGCTCAGCACTTGGTGGTGGCTACACGATTCGCACGCTTCGCGTGCTCAGTGCTTCTGCGGCCGCTAGCTACACTGTGCTACACTGTTCGCACGCTTCGCGTGCTCAGGGCAGGGCTGCTCCGCAGCGCTTCAGCGTGACACAAACACACACGTCACAGGTGCCTCTTCTTTATAAGGAGCGTGACACACACACACACACACAGACACACGTCACAGGTGCCTCTTCTTTATAAGTAAAGATATATATATCCAGATACAGTCAGACCTCGCTTAACCGCACACATCCGCTTTCGACAAAAGTATCCGGATAGGCGAGGGAACAAACAATAGGAAGACAGAGAAAGTGTTTTTACTCCGAGTTTCACGCACTAAGCGATCATCAGAACCGGGAACCGGATAATCGAACACACATACTGTATGCATGCATGACGTTTGCTGTAAATCGGTAACCAACGATTTTCTTCCGGATAACAGAGGACCGGATAAGCGAGGTCTGACTGTACACAGATCATGCAGCACTGGCAGTCCGCACATGGGAAGGAAAGAGGTGGCCAATTATTCCCGGGAGACGGATGAACTGTACTTATATGAGGTAGTGACATCCATAGTCTCTGTCACATGGATAACATAAATAGCCACGTGATCTCTCTGCGCCAATCACAGCGTATCTCGAGACATGGTACGTGTTGTGAGATTCAGCTGCCTCTCAAAATTAGCCTCTATGACACTCTCCATGCAGAGCATCTCAAAGGATGATGTAATCACATAACCTCAATGTATTGTAAGTTTTTTTCCCCAAAAAAAGGACTCACCGGTCGACGGCAGGTGCTTGATGCTGCCGCAATCGCTCTTGCCGTGCACTGTGAAGCGACGTCCTGCAATGAGCACGTAATCGACAGTTAACACAGACACCCACACACACACACCCACACACACACACACACACCACAACATACACACACACCACACACAAAACACACACACCACACACAAAACACACACACCACACACAAAACACACTCGCACGCACACGTCGCACACACACATCACACACAGACAAACACACACACACAAACGCACGCGCGCGCGCGCGCACACACACACACACACACACAACACACACACACACAGGTCAGCTGAAATTACGATGCAACTTGTGTCGGATAACAGAGTGTCGAGCACCCAAGTGCCAGTAACCGAGTGTCAGAAAATGGAAAGTTGAATATCCAAGCATCAGGCAACAGAGTGAACAGATTGTCGGATATTCATGTGCCAGTAATCGAGTGTCGGGTGGCCGAGTGCTGGGTAACCGATTGTGACAAACAGTATGTTGGACGGCCAGGGTTGCACTGCACGTACTTGCCATCCACAGAACGTGTATGTCCGCTTGACCAATGCATGCAGGCATGCACGGCTCTTCGACAAGAGACAAACGAACGAGACGGCCGACAACACAGCATAGCCTACTTACCGCAGGTCTTCAAGATCCTCAGCTGCGGCAGAATTAGGACGAGTGGTGGCCATGCTTGCGCTGCCAGGGGATTTCTGCGGTGTCTAAGTTGTTGAACAGACACCACAACCAGCACAAGTACATGAATGCAAGGCAGCAATAAACAAATAGTCTCTCTCTCTCTCCATCCCCACCCCAAAGGACGCCAACATGACGCTGATCTAGCTAAAAGCAGTAGCACGAAGAATGCTGTTCTGACAGTTGGAAAGGAAACGTTTTTGGTTAGGGTGAACTCCCATCGCCAGAATCGGTTGGCTTTAACACCAACTAACTGCCGTACTAAGGCATGGAAGACATGCCACCTCCAAGTCCTCCCGAAGCCCCCTTCCCTCACACAAACATACACACGCACACACACACACACACTCATGAGAGTGCACACGCGAACGCGCTCACCTTTCGAGCCGGCGGACAGCAGCTGCCGAGCAGCGAGTCGATGCGCGTCTGCAGTTCCAGCGACAGCTTCTTAACCTCGTCGCCGCACTGCTGCATGCGCCTCACCGTCGTGTCACAGTCCTGCGCCTGCGCCGTCCCTCTCACCGTCGCATGACTCGCATACGCAGTGCGAGCAGCGCTAGAAGGCATACCGACTGATGCCGCATAACTGCCGCTTGCAGCACCAGCCCGGGCGGCGGCGGTGGCAGGAGTAGCAAAGTGATCTGGTGAGAGCGGTGGCGATTGCGCTCGATCCACATCGCCGGCCAAGGTCATGTTGTCTGCGTCTTCGTCGTCGCTCGACGGCGAGCTAGCCGTGACCGTGATCGGACCGATGTCCAACGAGGAGCCGCTGCCGTAGCTAGCACTGTCCTCATCCTCTGGTGTCACGAATCTTACGTGGCTTGATCTAACGGCTGCATGTTGATCGCCCTCTGGAGCGCTGACCCCGTGACCTGGCCCTGTAGACCGGCATGCAGGCTTGGCCCTGTCCGACACTGACAGGCTGCGGCTCTCGGGAGCATGCACCCGCAGAGAAGCAGTCGCGTGCGATCGAGACGAGGACGCGGTGTCCGGTGCTTTCGGCAACGCTGTGCCAGGCCTCGGCTGGGTGGATTTGCTGCTCGAGCTTCGCGATGACAAGTCCAGACTCTTCCTGGCGGTGGTGCTGGCGGTTTTCCTGGGCGCAGAACGCGTGGGCTTCAGCGGAGATCGCTCTGCAAGCACAAACCAGACAACAAACACTAGTGCAACGTGGGGAAATCCGCTATTGCGCAACCGCCCCGGCAGACCAGAGAGCACTGGTTTTAACTCTTTAAAAGTACACAAAAAGAGACTTATGGTTGATTCATATGGTGGTAAATACACGCCTGGCAATATGGCGGTAAATACACGCCTGCCCACACACGCTCTCTAGGCTGCAAAGTTATTCTGGCACAGAGCTCTCCTTCTCACCACCACCACCATCAGTTCGCGCATGGCGCCTAGTCGATGCATGGTTAGCGGTATCCGACACAGCAGGCTGGTACATCAGGTAGCGCATGGCGTTCCAGCCTGCTATGTCGGACACAGCTAACCATGCACTGACTAGGCACCATTACACCACAAGTTACTCAAAAATCAGCTCATGCGATAACACTACACGACACTGACCGACGGTACTGACGTTCTACAACTAACTGCCAATCAGCTCCAGCACGTCCTGGAATCTACAAGGAATGTGACATGGAATTAATTACAAAGTAGGCGGGTAGGCTCCTAATGGTCACATTCCCTACATATACCGTATTTTCCGGAGTATAAGCCGTACTTCAAACACCAGAAACCCACCCAAAACACGTCAGTGCGGCTTATACCACCATGGTCAGATTACCGGTGATATCAGGAGCGGATCCAGCGATCTCTACAGGGGGGTTCCAGTAGTCAAAACTGAATAGCTGATACATGTACATGGACACGCCTATGGTTGCCAGTTCTTATAGTACATTTACGAAATTTAGGGGGTTCCGCGGAACCCCTGGAACCCCTCCTGGATCCACCACTGGATCATATACAGGGTGGATGTATGTATACTTCATGGCAAAATATCTGCTGGGTGAGACTTATACTCCGGAAAATACACTACAGTGAAACCTGTCTAAGACGACCGCTCAAGGGACCTTCGAAATGTGGTCTCTGTTACCAGGTGGTCTCCTTATCCAGGGTCATTTGACTGATAATAGCATCCCTGTGTCCTGTTTGCAGTGGTCTTCTGGGACAGGTGGTCACCTTATCCGAGTGGTCCCCTTGGCAGGTTTACTGTACTTGCTTTTCTTGTCACAGTGGACTCAGAGTGGACTTGGAGTGGACTCAGAGTGGACTTGGAGTGGAGTCCGAGTGGACTCACAGTGGACTCAGAGTGGACTCAGAGTGGACTCAGAGTGGACTCAGGGATAAGCAAAACTACCACATACGTGCGAGTACTCTACCTAATTCAGCACCAGCAGCCAATACACACCTAAGCCAGTGGATGGCGCTCCCGATCGTAGAGGTGACGAGTGTCGGTGGAACGGCGGCCGAGACGGGTGATCCACAAACTCGACGGAATGTGCCGAACGAGTCGCGCCCGTGCGGCTCACCACCGCGCTGTGCAAGTCACGCCGCCGATACAGGTCGGGCTCGGCACGCCGCACCGCAAACGGACGCGGATGCACGGCGTGGCTGGCAGCGGCGGCGTCGTCGTCCGTATCGTGACAATGTGCCGTGCAACTGCGGTCCAGCGGCTTGGCGCTGGCCAGGCCGGTGGCTGTGCGTGGCAGAGCGCAGTGCACCAGGGTGCGACGCGGTGCTAACGCCGACAGCGACGGGACCACACCCGCGTGCTGCTCCTGACGATGAGTCATCGAAGTTACCGCTGACGACACCACCGGCGTCGCTGCTGCTCCTTGAGTGGACGTAGATGCTGCCGCTGCGTGCCCCTGTGATGCGGTTGACTGCGGACAGCTCTCACGACTGTGACGGGGCACCGCACTACTACTACTACTACTGGGCGGTGGTGACTCAGCAGCAGTGTGAGTAGCAGCAGTAGGACCGGCACTAGCAGTAGGCGGCATGCCCATGCTGATTGCACGACCCTCGAAGATGTCGAATGGCGTGTCGTGCTTGGTGCGAATACCCGCTCGTGACATGCCCGACATACCAGCGACTTGCGCTGCAGACGGCTGAAAAGAACGGCACAGAGGAAGAACGTGAATGCGTAAGCGTCACTTGGCAGGAACACTTTTGATCGAAAGGACTGAAGCAAGCAGTGTAGTGCATAGTGATTGTCGCAGCATTGTCTCTCTCCTTACTGTCCCTCACTATACACTACAAGAGGTACTGTAGTGAGCAGGTCAGTGAGCCCCTAAAGTGAATCTCGTCGTGATTGTTCAGGGTAACAAGAGGGCCACCTAGTATAACATATCCCAAATTTTGCTTCGCCCTTGGCTATTTGGCGGAATTTGCACCAGGGGAAAGGAACTACCTGCTATGACTACTGTAATGACGTGTATAACAGCAGGTGCTTGCGGCCATATAAGCCGGGGTTCAAACCATGCCTCTATTCACGTGATGCTTCTGTTCAAAACATGCTTCTACGTCAAGATCATCAGTCTGCACTGTGCAGTGCATACTGCTACGCATGTACTTGCACATGTACTGTGCAGAGAACGGCTTCTATTCAAGTCATGCTTCTGTGTCAAGGTGCGCTTCGAAAAATCGACTTCTATTGGAGTCATGCTTCAATACAGGTCATGCTTTTTATACGCGACACTACAGTATTCATGACCTGTAGTCTCCTCACCAAATCAATCAGTGGTCTGACAGGATCGTCGTGACGACTTTCCACAATGGTCAGGTCCAGGGAGTAGCGGATCATCAACTGTGCCTGCAATACACACACACGCACGCACGCACGCACGCACACACATACACACACACACACGCAGATTAGATAAACACATACGAAGCAATTCAAATACTAGAACAGCTAAGAATACTGCTCAGAACTTCACACACAAGTGTCTGAAGTTCTGAGCGCGTACAGTGCTGCGAAATTATTTATCGGACATTGCCAACGGTGCAAGTACAAAAATTATAAGTGGCCACGGACGTGGATATGCTAGCCCTGCCCATGCAAAAACGGCGTCCAAGTCGCTTGACTGATGACGAAGCAGGAGAGGCCTACTTCCCGTCCTCAGCCATGGACCTGTACCAGCGGCAGTACTTTGAAGCCGTGGATCTGATAATGTCATGCATACAAGATCGCGTTGACCAGAAAGGATACCGGATGTACGAGTACAGCACCTTGGAAAAGCTTTTGCTGAACGAAGCGACTGGACAGCCATTCGATGATGAGCTGAGTAAAGGTGGCGAGCTCTACACAGATGATTTTGATGTTACAAGGCTTGAAGATGAACTGTCCTTGCTGCGAAGTCAGTTCGCTTGCAGTAGTGAAAGTCCTAGCCTTGAATCCTTGTCCAAGTTCTTGCACCCTCCTCAAGTAATTAGTTGGTTTTGGTTATGCCAGCCACAACTGCTACCGGCGAGCATTCCTTCTCTGCTCTAAGGCGATTGAAGAGCTATTTCTGCAGCACCATGAGCCAGTCCCGCCTTAATCACGTGATACTTCTTCATACTCACCGAAATGCTACTGGCAGCCTAGATCTCAACGCTTGTGGAAATGACTTTGTCGCAGGAAGTGACCATCGTCTAGCAGTCTTCGGCAAATTCCAGTCAGTTTCTCGCCGTACTGATGCCGTTGAAGTAACTGTTCTCGACTCAACAGTATTAGGTTGTTTGTTGCATATAACACTCCCCACATGTAATAATAATATATTATAATGCACTGCTCAATCTTTCACATTGATATACAGAGACTCCTGAAATGACCTGAATTTTTTTGCTGTAATGATTACATTGATATCCATGGGAAATGATTCCCTGTAGTGGGCTCTTAAACACTTGTGAAAGGGCCAAATTCTACTATTTCTGACCGAATTTGTCAAAACTTTCCTGCGAGGGGGATCCCCCGACACCCCAAAAAAAACCCAACCAACTTCACCCACCACCTTCCGGCGGGCCTGAGGACCTAGAATACCGCACACGGAAAAGCTGACCATTGTTGGGTGAAGATTTCTAAGAACTTTCACATTGAACTGCAGCCAGTTACACATAAACTCAGTCTCAGCACACACTCAATGGTCTCTCTGCTGAGAAAACATCTACTCTCCTGATTTCACCATATATTTGGGCCTGGCCCATCATCAGGGCAAACATTCAAACTAAAGGCAAACAAACAAGAATTTTATGTGATAAACCATGATATATGTGATAAACCATGATATATGTGATAAACCATGATATATGTGATAAACCATGATATATGTGATAAACCATGATATTATGTGATAAACCATGATACATGTGATAAACCATGAAGTGTGATATCTAGCGGTGAGCGATGGTGAGACTTGTGTCAGCTAACGTGTACTTGTAGGTGTGGAGAGTCTGAGGAGAGCTGGTGAACAGGTAGCAGGATATAGGTGCAGGGCTGTGTTTGTCTGCAGATGCCAATGTGCAATACATTGAAATGACGTGGAGCGGGAGCCATACGCACGAAGACAAAGGTGATGAGACATTGTCGTGAAGTACTAGTATGACGCAACAAGCCAGCACACACGTATACATATTTCACGCTGTCTCCAACAGTCTCCAGCCACAGTCTCCAGCCACAGTCTCCAGCCACAGTCTCCAGCCACAGTCTCCAGCCACAGTCTCCAGCCACAGTCTCCAGCCACAGTCTCCAGCCACAGTCTCCAGCCACAGTCTCCAGCCACAGTCGCACACCACACATCACTATACAGACACACTTCACATTGACATCTACACAGAAAACACAGAGACCTGCACTTCTTCCCATGCGCTCTTCTCACCAGCTCTCCTCAGACTCTCCACACCTACACCCTTATCTGACACAAGTCTCGCCATCGCTCACTCACTGCTCCATCACACTTCACAGTTTATCTGCTACATTTCTTGGTTGTTTGGCTTAAATTCGATTGTTTACCCTGATGAAGGGCCAGCCTTGAAAATGTGGCGATGAGAAGAATTTGTTCCGCTGAGGAGAGACCATTGAGTCAGGAATCAGACTAAGTAACGATCGTGAGGTGTTTCGAAAAGTCTCCGATTCTAGTCTTTTCTAGATGAAATTTATTTGGCAGCACTGTGCATATGATATTCTGCAGTTATTTGTAGTACAAACGTAGCTAGTCAAGACCAAACAGACTGAGACACAAATTGTTTGTATTACAGTCGACGATGGCACTCGGCCGACTCGTGAGCTATGCATGCTCAAACTGTCCAAACGTTCACCTACGCACCACTCTATAATATCCAGCTGATGATAATAATATCATTTTTTTGGATTGGATTGGATTTTTATTTATGGCACCAGTCCGGAGTGCCTGTACGCACGAAACCTGCTCAGTCGCCCAGTCACGCGGCTTACCGTTTGGCCGGCAGCGGTGTGCAGCCTCACGTCCCCTGTGCTAATGGCCAGAGAGCCGTTGGCCAAACGACGCGGACGCTGCAGCCCGCTCAGCAGCTCTCCTATGGTTGTCTGGCAGGACGCCACTGTCGCACACCCTGCCCAACATACACACACACACACACACACACACACAAACAACAACAACAACAACAACAACAACAACAACAACAACAACAACAACAACAACAACAACAACAACAACAACAACAACAACAACAACAACAACAACAACAACCAACAACAACCAACAACAACAACCAACAACAACAACCAACAACAACAACCAACAACAACAACCAACAACAACAACCAACAACAACAACCAACAATGACGACGATGGCGGCGGCGGCGGCGACGACGACAACAAGCAGAAACGGAAACACATTACATCACAGAAAGATTCTAAGTAATCCGTCCGGAGCAAGCACAAGAAAGAAGTTTGTGAATGCAATGTACCGTCAGAAACATGCCTACACACAGCATGAATGAGAGACTGGCTGTGAGCGCTTCCAGCAGCTATTACCAAGGCAACGATCACATGGCATTCCTGAACAGGGTACAACATGCTTAGGCATAGCATGCATCACAGACTGGTTGTCATGCACGTCCAGTGGTTATTGCCCAGGCTACGATCACATGATATTTCTGAATGGGGGGGATAAGATGCTTAAGACACAGCACGCATTACTAACACAGCATACGCACCTGTTTGCCTCGACGACAACTGCAGAACCTCCAACAGGAACGGCTCGCCTACAGGCACAGGTAACGAGAACACGTAAGGAACTGCAGCGAAACTGAACATGATGCGCTGAAATGCTTCGGATATCAGCGATTTACCCCGTCCTGGATTTGAAACAGCCTCTTCGTGTTTGCACATGTATGTAAGCAACATCATAGTGTGTATCAAGGGTTTGGATCAAGGGTTTGGATCAAGGGTTTGGATCAAGGGTTTGGATCAAGGGTTTGTTGTAGGTCTCTTGTGCAAATCAATCATGGTCATCTCACCTTGCAGTCGAACATGCAGTGCAGCCGGATCCAGTGTATCCGTGTAAACCTGCACACCAGCAAATGTATACCAAACCATAGTCAAAACACAGTGGAAGAACTCCATTATTCCACCTGCTATGCACGAGTTGAAGAACACACACACGCACACACACACACACACACACACACACACACACACACACACACACACACACACACACACAAGCACGCACACACGCGAGCACGCACACACACACACATACACACACGCACGCACACACACACAGAGCTCCAACCAACCTGGCTGAAGAAAAGGACCTGGTTGTAGTGCAGGGGAAGAACATGCGGCAGCTTGCGTGTCGACTGGCTCTGATCCAAGGTGACAGCGCGGACAAACACATCATGATCGGAACTCAGACGGCCATGCAGACGGCTGACCTAGAGGAAATCAACATCAGAACACAGTATCCACACTAAATCTTCTCCCCTTTTTCTCTTTCTTTTCTGTCTTATCACCCCTCTCGCACACGTTGTGTGCCAATTGGTCATGGACCACGAGTTGAGTGAAACAAAACGAAAAAATCACACCACACATCCATCACTCAAGAGCTGTCTACAGTGTCCTAGTGTGCGAATATCTCCTGGAGTGTGAGTCAGGGGGAGGGGGGGGGGGGGGGGGGGCAAGACTGAGCAGACGCGTATACCGTACCGCCAGAGCGCCCCACCATCTCGTCCTTTGGTGGTCGTATTGTGGAGGTGGTCTCCTGTCTGTAGGTCATACGACACGAACTTCGTACACGTATTGCACGTTCTGCAGACAATCCGTACCATCGAGCGCACACGAGCTCCACACAAAAACCTGCTTAGTGTGACCTTAGTACACTAAGGTTCTCACACCGTACAACCTTCGTTGCACTCTGCCATACGATTTTGGTGGGGCGCTCTCGCGAGACGGGGCGCCCTGACGGTACTTTACGGTAACAGCATTCTTCTCAATGTGTGGACATCACTGTGACGTCCTTTGGGGACTCATTGGCACTGGGAAATGAGGGCAAGCAATCAAAATTCGTGACCCAAATTGAAAACTGGCATCAAATGATCGGTGCAGGTTGGGAGCCGCTACAGACTGCCTGGAGTCCAGATACAGTGAAACCTCATTAGGAAGAACACTGACAACTGTACTGATAAGACAAATGTTTGCCTAAGAAGAACTAGTATTCGTAACTGTATTGGATAAAACCCTGTGTATTCACTGGGTAAAGCATACGGATAAGAAGAACTCCCGGTATTGCGAACAAATATCATCGGTCCCTTGATGTTCGTCCTAAAGAGGTTTGACTGTATTTCAGTACGGGGCTACCTGCCATATCTCGTAGCGTATATACTGAATCGCGGTGTCCTGTGGGTACCGTACAATGGAACGGCTGGCATCCACTTCCCCAAGGGAGCGCGGCAAGAGAGGCTGTACAGTCTGCACAGACACATGCCCTGGTTGCGCAACAGCATGCAGCCGTCCTGCCGCTGCACTGTTGTCCCAGACGCTGGGGCCTGGACAGTGGATGGCTGATGAGATAATTATGGCGTGGTATTGTGAAAAGATAATGGAATGATTTTTTTTAACTTTAATCAAATGAACAGGCCGATACTGTCTTACCAGACCATTGGCCTGCCTCTAACAAAACTTAATGTGTTTGCTCGATGGGAACATAGAATTTCCTTGGTACATGCGCATGCATTGTTACAAGTGCACTGATCAACACAATTTGTTGTTCATTCAACTGTACCTGGTGAACGTGCAGAGCCAGCCTGCAGTTCAGCGTATTTCCACGTTGAACTACCCCGTCCATTGCACCGCTCTCTCGGCAATCTCTAGCATCAGAGTGGTGACTGAGGGGAAAAATGGAGCTACGCCACACAAATCGTTATCGATGGCTCTACTCCGACATGTACAGTCATGTAGCTGCGAAACACTGGTGCACGCACCACATTCGTTATTTCCTCCAGCAAATTCAGAATGCTACATCTTCTTTGCCTTGGTAATTGGATAGAAGAGCGATGGGAATGCAAATAAATTAATGGGTCCCTCGATCATGTCGTCTTCACAATCACCATGATCACTGTTCAGGTTTGAGTTTCGTCCATACAGATTATAATTTTGACTTCGTGTGCTGGCTGATTCGAATTTTCATCCGTAACCAAGCAACAGCTCTGAACACTTAGTTGCCGCATGACAAGTGCAGAACCAACAGTTCGTCGACGATCGTAGAATCTACGGTCGGTAGTCTCGGTACCCACCATGTAGATCTACCAGATGTAGATCTACCAGGGAGATTTTTTGACTCCCTGCATGCCTAGCCTGGGCCTGGTAGAGTCTACCATGCCCATGGTCTACATCATTGGAAAGGCTTCCTGTCTGAAGCCTTTCCATACTGGTACTCGATGTTCCAGTTTTGTGACACGAGAATGGCACGAGAATTAGTGTACCGCTGAGTGTACCGCTATACACGTGGTCGACACTTAGTCGACACGTTGTTGATACTTTTTTGACACGTGACCCCGTCAACGGTCTGCTTTCTGCCAATGCCACTCGGTAAACGCCGATGTCGCGTACGACAAAGACGACTATCCCGTACACGAAATAGTTGAGAACTGCATGACGTGGACCTGACGGCAAGGACAACTGCGAGGAGGCCCCTTTCGGTACCCCTGACGGGAAGAAGAACTGCAGAAGTCGAACGAGGAGGCCCCTTTTCCGTACCCCATACTGCAAAGTGCCATTGATGGATACCTTTTCACTGGAACGACCCCTTAAACGCTGTCGCGGCGACTATCCCGTACGCGAAATAGTTGAGAACTGCTGACGTGGACCTTTTGCACCTGGAACGGCCCCGTAAACGCTGTCGTGTCGGCGGAGTGAATGTGCAGGGTACTAGGTGAAAAGAATTGCTGCAAAGACGTCCCCTCTACTACTAGGAACTTTTCTTTGGAGACATCGTCGGCGAACTGAATGCGCAGGGCGAAAAGACGTCCGCTCTAGGCCTTTGGAGACATCGTGGGAACTCCTTCCGGTACTATACAAACTGCTGACGTGGCCGTGGACATGTACATGGAGAGTCATGGTGGGACTTCATGTACATGGATACATGGTGGGAATTCCTTCCGGCACCCCCGTACCGCAAAGCCAACGGTGGGGAAGGAGAAGTGCAGACGTGCAGGAAGACGAACGAGGAGGAACCAGGACGAGCGAGCAATGGCAGGACTAGCTGGACCGTAAGTAATAGCTGAATTGTGTATGACGACTTGACACCCATGCGGCACTCGCCACTTGCCACTGCATATTTCTTGTCCACTAACAATGTCTCTCCTCTGACCCCTGTGTGTCCACGGCCCTGTTTCTGAATTGGCCCGATGAATCGAATGTCTTCCGCAACTGGAACGGCCCCGTGAACGCTGTCGCGTCGGACGAGGAGGAACCAGGACGAGCGAGCAATGGCAGGACTAGCTGGACCGTAAGTAATAGCTGAATTGTGCATGACAACTTGACACCCATGCGGCACTCGCCACTTGCCACTCGGCGACTGAATGCGCAGGAGGGAAAATATTGCTGCGAAGACGTCTCCTCTAGACGACGGTAAGGCACCCCATTGATATGTTGCCAGTGTGTGCCAGGGTATCGCGCGATGGTGAATGAGGAATGATGAAGGGTACGGTGGGACTGTAGACCTGTTACCTTCTACTAACACGTTATCAGGTGGAGAGTGTCTTGTACTCACGTTATCAGGTCGAGAGCGTATTGTAGTCACTCTCTCTATTCCTGTACTTCATTACGTTTAAGGTGTACGTATAACTTCTCAAAAAAAATTAATGGTCCACAGTCGTGTCGGAAGGGTACGGTGGGACTGTAGACATGTTACCGTTTAACACGTTATCAGGTGGAGAGTGTCTTGTACTCACGTTATCACTATATCAGGTCGAGAGCGTATTGTAGTCACTCTCTCTCTATTCCTGTACTTATTACGTTTCAGGTGTACGTATAACTTTTCCAAAAAATTTAATGGTTCACGTCTTCAGATAGAGAGCGTATTGCACCCACTGTCTAGTCTCTGTAGTGCATTGAGATTTTGTTGATCGAACATGAAATGGATACACAGACAAAGCCAGGCCAAGTACATGGCGAGATGTCGCCAGAAGAACCTCTTCAGGTAGAGAGCGTATTGCACCCACTGTCTAGTCGATTTTGTGGATCGCACATGAAATGGATACACAGACAAAGCAGGCCAAGTACTTGAGAGAGTGGACGATGTGCAGATCGACACGGCCTGCGGGTACTTCATTAAAGTTACCTGTGACATAACTAGGATAAAAGTTAATCACTGCAAAAACATTGCCAAGTATGTGAGCACTTTGGACTTGACAGAAGAGTGCACGGGCGACGTTGACAAAACATACCACGGTGACTGTCACTATCATGACAGCAGGGCACATCGCACACAGCATCGCAGATCGTGTCGAATTGCGCATCATAATATTGCAAAATTGCTCCTGTGCATGCAAGTGGATTTCATTGCACTTCTCAGTTTGGGAAATGCTCGATTATGACAATTCTCCGTGTGAGTGCACTAGCCCTGAACAGACATGTAGGTGAACCGTTTGTGGTGTCTCATAGCCTACCTCACGACCTTCTGCTTTCTTTCTTCATCATTTGTATCTTGCAGGTATATCATCCCGTGACATTGAAGTCTGAATTTGAAGTGTGAAGATGCTTCAGCAACCACATCGTACTTTTCCATTGCTTTCATTGTGCTTCTACTGTGCATGTGTGTAACTTGTGGGGTAAACATGTGATGACATTGTATGCTGGCGACACGGTCAGATGTTCATGCGTCTAACGTACACCTGCATGTTATGCATTGAAAAGGGTTTGCCACTTGCGATCCTGGGACGAGTATCAGGTCAGCTCTGTCCTGTGTGGGCTGTATCAGATTGCTGTTCACTTCTCTATCTGTTGGATATGTGACTTTCTGCAAGTTTCTGGTGTATGATGGCCACGTCCTTGCTTGTCACTTTGTATGATATTACATTCTGTATTTGCTGCTTCCATGGCATGGTCTGCAAACTGCAATCCTTGGGCAAATGTCATGTTTGCTATGTTGTGCTTTGGCCGTCAGCTTGTCTACACGCTGTAGTTGAATTATTTTTGTTTCACAACTGACTTCCTCAAGTACGGTGGCCACTGCTTTGCATGGCATTATACATGAAGAATTTCCTGTTTGTGCCGTGTGCATGTGCGTGTGTGTGCGTGGCCACGTGTGTGTGCCGTGTGTATACACATGTTTGTGTATCTGTGTGCGGGGTAGTGAGGCGGGGAGGGCTGGTATGTATCAGTGTGTTATTGCAGTCGCATGGCTACATACAGTACATCGCGCGCGTGGTCATCATGTTTACCTTCGGGGTTGGGGTGGGGAGGGAACGGAAAAAGAGCTGAAATTATCCATATAAAAATCGCTCTGTGAGCGGTTCTGAAAAACCTTTACTGGTACTGCCCCGTCGTAAAAGTAAGAAATTAGAACTGGCCCATTGTCCCCCCAAATGCGAACTGATCCACCTAAATCGCGAATGACGGGACCCGAACGCACCAGTAGCACGAGGTTCCTACCTGTGGATGCAGATGGGGACGTTGGTCCGGACCACATGCATAGGCCATGCACTGTACTAGCAGTAGGCTTCCCTATCAAAATAATAAATTCTACTACTACTACTACTGGTGTTACCCTATGATAATTGCCGTGATCCTGTGCCCTCCCGACCTCGTGCTACTGGTGCGTTCGGGTCCCGTCATTCGCGATTTAGGTGGATCAGTTCGCATTTGGGGGGACAATGGGCCAGTTCTAATTTCTTACTTTTACGACGGGGCAGTACAAGTAAAGGTTTTTCAGAACCGCTCACAGAGCGATTTTTATATGGATAATTGACTTGTACTAGTTGTACTAGTTGTAGTTGTACATGGTGCTAACCACTGGTTTGGGTACGTCTCCCTGGGCCTGGGTAGATCTACACCGGGGAGTAGTATAATTATAATTTTATAGTCCGTATGTCACTCACTGATGACCCTCCATGCATCGTCATGGTATCAAGAGTACATAACGCGAAGGACTAAAGGGACCCTCACTTAATTTTTTGCCGACTACCCGCCAAAAAACACATTATTTCGACACGCGTGTGTGCTGGACGTCTGCGCGTGCACGACAAGACGTGTGAGCTGGCTGACAAGTGAGAGCCAGGGAGTCCGGCATACCGGCATTTGACGACTCCCGGCCTGGTGAGAGCATGCATGCATGCATGCATGTCCAGCTGGCGGGAAAGGGAACCTAAAATTGTAGATCGATGGGTTGAATGTGAAATTGTGGATCTACACGAGGTTTGTTTTGATGTTCTGATACTTGTTGTAATGGCTAGTGATCTTGCAAACGTTACTGTGACTTTTCCAAGTCCTACTGATATACCTTGTCAAATCAGATGCCCTGTAGTAGTCTTGGTGGAAGCAGACTGGAATGCGTTGAATTCGTAGCTTCTGAAATTGAAATTTATTTTTTCTTGAGTGACACTGACAAGCGATGGCATTGGCGACAGGAGAACTTTGCTTCCTTCCAGGAGAGCTGCATCGCAGTCGGATCCTGTCCATGCACATGCGATCATGCTGTGTTGTAGACAGTGGAGAGCTAATTTTGACCCAAGAAAATAGTTTTGAACATTCATGAAGAGGATATTGTTGCTGTAGCTAGCTGACAGACATAGCCTGTGGCAGTGGTGTATGAAATCAGCTTGCAAGGTGTGCAGAGAAGGAGCTGAACTGCACACGCACTTGCTACTGCTCTCGCAAGCTGACAGACATAACCTGTGGCAGTGGTGTATGGAATCAGCGTGCAAGGTCTGTAGCAACTTGATCATGGCAGAGAACGAGCTGAAGCGAGATGTGAAGGGTGCCATGCAGCTTACACTTGTGCATGTTCTACGTTACTCTACGGCGAGGAACTACACACGCACTCACTACTGCTTATTTGACTGGATTATTGATCGCGTATTGATCAAGCTCGGCACGAAGTATTGGCTCGCTTTCTCACATACTTACTCTCTTTTTCTTTCTGTCTCTCCATCTCTCTTTCTGTGTGTGTGTGTGTCTCTCTCACTCTCTGTTGACGTACACTGTATCTCTCTTTGTCTGTCAGTTTCTCTCTCTCTCTCTCTCTCTCTCTCTAACACACAGGCACAAGCTTTCTATCTGTCAGTTTCTCTTCTTTTGTTGCTTTCTCATGAACACTAGCACACACACACTCTCTCAACATTGATCACTTATTCCCATCATGCTTTTTTGGGTTTCGTTGTGATAGAATATTGTACTACTACTTGTAGTACTACTGATGTACAACACTATTCTCATGCAACTGGAGGGTATATATCCGGGTGCTATTTGTTGTTGTGGCTAAGAGTGCATGTGTGCGGCCAGCTAGTTCCAGCATGCAAGGTGTTACATTTGCTACACTGTGGTCTTACAAGCACAGAGAACCATTATGTTCTAACTTTCCTTGATACAACTATGAACCGAAGCACAACTGCTGCAAACATTAACTGCCCATTTAGGCAAGATATATAGCAACAACTAAAAGTAGAAGAAGTAAGTAAGACTAGCGTCCTTCCAGCTCCAGGACAGTATGAACAGGCAACAACATAAATTTTAACAGCATTGCATCGTACATGCATGTAGCCATGCAGAAATAATTGTACATTTAGTTGTGAATGCAAATCCAAGGCGGAAAGCAGTCAGGCGTAATAGATGCCAGCAATAGAAACCAGATCTGTGACGCATGTTACATGCATTCATGATGATCAATGCATGATCGTGGTTCACCACCATTGAACACAGTAGTACATGTAAATTACACAGAAATAGGAGATTAAATCTAACATATCTCCCTCGTGAAAGAAAAGTGATAAATATCACATGAGTGAGTAAAAGACGAAGACAACAAGAAGAAAAACATGACAAAAACAATGGCAATTGAATATGATAACTCGGATGGAAGAAAAGGACCAAGGACCTACAAGACGTGCTAGAGCTGATAGCCAGTTTGTTGTAGAACGTCAGTACTGTCGGTCAGTTTGGTGCAATGTTATAATTATTGCTATTGCATGAGCTGATTGTCAAGTAACTGGTGGTGTTAGTGGACAGTATAGCATAACTTGTAGTTCTTTGGTCTTTTTTTCTTTACTATGAATATGAAAACAATCACAGTTCGCTCAGTACTTGCACCTTTAACTTCCTGTGGCTCAAGATGATGAACTGCATGCTTGTATACCTTCCCAGCTACTTAAACTTCTACTATCCGAACAGCACCATCCTTACCTGGATAGGTCATAAGCACACGTCCAAGTGGCTAGTGTGCAGTTGCGGTGTGCTTATCCATCACAAGCACGATATCTCCTTAGGGTGATGCTGTTAAAGCAACCACATCACTTGGATGCTTAGCTTCGGAACAATCTCTTTCAGCTAACGTTTCCATACCTGATCTACAATACGTTGCACAAACTCCCAGCGCTTTCTTGGGTGAGCTTGAGTCATTGTAGATGTGTTGGCTTCAGCAGCAACAGTTGCCCTAGCATGGCCAATGAGAAAGTGTTGTGGCAATAGCAGCTGAAGGTCTTCATGCAGCACTAGTTTCATTGCCTTGGCCATTACCTAGAACACACCACCAAAGTGTGGTGCACTTGGTGGCTTGAAGTACCAGGTAATGTCACGGTATGACCTTTCTGCTGCTAGTCTGAAGTTGTCGAGAAACTTGACAGCTGCTTTTACCTCTTGATCAGCCACACGGAAATTGGTACCGTTGTCCGATTGCATCTCTTGTGGCACACCACGTCGCATGGTGAATCGGGGTCTAAGAGCCAGGAGAAAACCGTCGTTGTCCAGAGATAACCTCGAAATGACAAGCCCTAGTCAGCAGGCATGTAAACACACATGCATATATCTTTGAGTTGTGACCGATCTCGACCCTGGCGTGCATAGAAGGGGATGACATAGCCGACACTAATTATGGCAAATGACTGATGTGGTCCAGTTGTCTTGAAGTCGGGAAGTGGTGGCATTGCTGGTGTTGCTGTTTTGATATGGCCCTTGCGGCAAAGAACGCACTTGGCCCGATGCCTCCAGGTGGCCTGCATCACTGGAGAGAAGCCACTCATCCGGCACAAGCCTCCACGAGTGCTGTGTGCTCCTCATCGTGAAGTGATACCTTCCCAGTGAATGTCAACAGGCGTGTTGATGTGTTCGACGACAAAGTGCAGTGGATCCATGCGTTGAGGGGGCTGGATCACTGGAGAGAAGCCAATCATCTTGCGAGAGCAGTAGCAAGTGCGTGTGCAGTTCAGCTCCTTCTCTGCAGACCTTGCAAGCTGATTTCATACACCACTGCCACAGGCTATGTCTGTCAGCTAGCTACAGCAACAATATCCTCTTCATGAATGTTCAAAACTATTTTCTTGGGTCAAAATTAGCTCTCCACTGTCTACAACACAGCATGATCGCATGTGCATGGACAGGATCCGACTGCGATGCAGCTCTCCTGGAAGGAAGCAAAGTTCTCATGTCGCCAATGCCATCGCTTGTCAGTGTCACTCAAGAAAAAATAAATTTCAATTTCAGAAGCTACGAATTCAACGCATTCCAGTCTGCTTCCACCAAGACTACTACAGGGCATCTGATTTGACAAGGTATATCAGTAGGACTTGGAAAAGTCACAGTAACGTTTGCAAGATCACTAGCCATTACAACAAGTATCAGAACATCAAAACAAACCTCGTGTAGATCCACAATTTCACATTCAACCCATCGATCTACAATTTTAGGTTCCCTTTCCCGCCAGCTGGACATGCATGCATGCATGCATGCTCTCACCAGGCCGGGAGTCGTCAAATGCCGGTATGCCGGACTCCCTGGCTCTCACTTGTCAGCCAGCTCACACGTCTTGTCGTGCACGCGCAGACGTCCAGCACACACGCGTGTCGAAATAATGTGTTTTTTGGCGGGTAGTCGGCAAAAAATTAAGTGAGGGTCCCTTTAGACTAGTTTAGTCCTTCGCGTTATGCCTTATGTACTCTTGATACCATGTAGACCAGGGAGTCACGACTCCCTGATGTAGACCTACACTACAGGTACCAGTGGCATTTGCACTTGAAGACCCACACGCAGGTGGTCCCCAGGCGAGACCTACCCGCTCCGGGTATCATATGTTTCATTGATTATCAGGGATAAAGAAGAGGAGCAGCTAGCAAGACTAGTTCGAGGAATTATTTCCTACTATGAGCCGGCCATTTTTTTCTCGGTTTTCAAGCCGAACCTGCAACAATGATATTCATCATCCGCCAAGGTACGTCCGTGTGTGTGTGGGAGGGGGGGGGGGGGGGGGGGATTTGAAGTATAATTATAAAAATAATTATAAACTCATCATGAACTTAGAACCAACTTCATCACGAAACTCATCACTTTTATAAATTAATAGGCATTTACATGTACGACTCCCAGGTCCTGCATCAGATAATCTACACCAGGGAGTCGTAAAATACCGGTATTTTACGACTCACTGATCTACACAATGTACAACACAGTGGGGTGGCCGCACCTGCAGTGAGACCCGACCACAGTCACGAACAAACTGCAGAACTGAGTCCAACGCGTCGCTTCACAGCTCAGTGACGGTTCCAGTGCCACGCATTTCGAAAACTAATATTCGGGAAGAATTCGATGATTTTTTTGGCCGTCACAATGCTCTACAGACTACACGGATGCACCAATGTATATGAACTTCCAGTCACTGGCTCAGTGCAATGAAGTATTTCCTGCAAAAAAATTGCGATCCAGACCGGGGGCGAATTACCCTCTCCCCCATGTTCTGCGTGTCCCTCCATCATGCTAACATGCATGCAAGTCGGCGACACGGTGCAATAAAGTGCTTATTGGATTTGTATGTCAAAACACGCGCCGTCTAAAATCTTACGTCAAAAATCTTACATACCATTACCAAGTAGACACTTCCAAGCCTATCATGACATCATCAGGCTAGGAAAGCACCTGCTAGTTGCTCATCGTTAATCATCTTGAAAATGTCTCAGTTTGACTCCAAAAGCAATTTGATTCAGCCATAGCATACCATGCAATACAAGCCATGAATAATGCACTCGCAGAAATGTATAAGCAGGCACATGAAGCCAATAAGCAAAGGACAAGAGAACGATGGAAGTCAGAAGAGAGTAAATAGGCTACATTGCATTGCCCTCTGCCGGAGCCTGGCAGGTCTTTAGGTGCATGTCGCCAAGCGAAAAATCCTCAGTCCCGGTATAGAAATCCTCCCGGTATAGAAAGGTAGAAACGCATAATCCAGATGCAAACAGACATACCGCACGCAGAAAAAGAAAAAAATAATTATGTGATTGGGAGCCTCTCTTCCTCTCCCTAGCTACCTTTCTACCTATCTACCTCTCTCACTCTCTCTCTCTTTCTCTCTCTCTCTCTCTCTCTATCTATATATCTATCTATCGATCTCTCTCTCTCTCTCACGCACACACACACACACACACATACACACACACACTCTCTCTCTCTCTCTCTCTCTCTCTCTCTCTCTCTCTCTCTCTCTCTCTCTCTCTCTCTCGCTCGCTCTTTCGCTCTCACTCTCTCTCTCTCTCTCTCTCTCTCACACACACACACACACACACACACGCACACACACACACACACACACGCACACACACACACACACACACACACACACCGGCACACACGCACGCACACACGCACACACACACACGCACACACACACACACACACACACACACACAATAGCCTGCTAGTAATAGAGGATAGGAACATGAACAACTCCATTGTGGACTGAGAAAAGCTAAACATGTCTAATCCCCAGCTGCACACACCCACAGCTACTGAGAGTGAGGCAGAAGTCAGTTATGCAGACGTCATACAGCTAACATAGCTGGAGTTGGTACGTGTTTTCTGATACTGATAGGGGGCCAACTCTTCACTACGTCCGTTACCATGGTAGCACGGGGCCTTACTCAGTCGCCTGTTGACTCTCTGACGACTTCGGTCGGTTTTTGTTCAGCTGCCGCTGTATGTCCAGGTTACAGAAACAGTAGTTTTTCCTAGAGAACACAGCACCAACAGGGTAGGCAAAGTAAATATTCCAACAGGCCCGGCAACCTTGTAATATCGATATTTGTACATGCACATTTGTCCAGGGAGTGGGGGGGGTTTCATGCTTACATTGTAGAGAGTTCTAGCCGGTGTCTCATACCATTTGGCATTTTCAAGTGGCTCAATCTCCGGACAGGCTGGACGGCTAGCTGTTTCGACCTTGTTAGGTCCCATCAGTGGAGCTCGGAGTTTCTGGCCGGACTGATCGCAATTGCTCTTCAAGTATACTGCATGGGGACGATGGACCCCCTTTTTTTGGGTAACCCTGGAATTTGTCATTGGTAAGAGCACCACCTCCACAGGCCATGATTATCAGTTCCTTCAAACCAAAGTAAAGAACTTGCCAAACCGTCTAGTTCGCAGAAAGAAGCATACGTTCCCACGTACAGTGGTAGATATACCAAATTGTTTATCACTTACGTTCTAGAGAATCCCTTGAACGGCGGGTCCATTTGCAGATTGAACAGCTTTTTACCGCACTGTGCAGAAAGCAAGAAACCGGACACACCGGCCAGACAGGCAGAAGCAACGACCATCAGAAATAACGTGAAAGGTAAAATACTAACCTTCCCACTGCAGGACCTTTCCGCGCCTGGGGGGCTATTAAAACCGTTTTTGACAATAATTATGATAAAAAAAGGAGAAGGACAACATGTTATGAGTTATGACTAGCTGTCCACTTTTTTATCATCATTAAATTGGCTCAGCATCCGAGTTCAACTTTGACAATAATTATAATTGTTTGCTCGATCTCAACACAGCTCAGTAGCTTGTATTTTCCTGTTTTGTTTTTTTTGGTTTTTTGTTTGTTGTTTTTTTGTTGCTTTTTCTCGTTTTTTGCGTTTTTTCACACATACAATTGTTTTCATTTTTTGGTGTTGTGTTTTAATCATTCGCCATGCCACTGTCGGGCGCCGAAGAACAGAGCGCCAAAGAACGATCAGCCTAGAATTATTTCACCAAGCACTGCATACCAATGGCACAGCTAGCTGTTGTTTCGACATCAAGGTCAGACTGCTCCACAGTAGATAGACACTGCAAACTTTGCACGACAGCAGATGACGCTGACCCTACCCAGAAAACGTGCTCAACCAAGCCGAGGCGAGGGAGCTTAATACTCAATCTCCGGACAGCTAGCTGTTTCGACGGGGCTAGTTCTCATCAGCAGAACTCTGAGTTACTGGCCGAACCGATGCAATGAAGTCTACATTGTAGTGAACAACTGGTCATTGTTAATTAAACCGGCTCAAAGCATCAAAGTCAGAGTGCTCCAACGCTCGTGATAAACACTGCAAACTTTGCACGAGGGTAGATCACTTTGACGCTATCAGAAAGGGTGCTTGACCAAGCCGAGGTAGGGGAACGTAATACTGTGACTCAATCTCCGGACAACTAGCCGTTGATTGTTTGTTGTGCCTAGTTACTATAATTAGATGAGTGACAGAATTCCACTGATGACAGTCAAGAGAAAATGTTCCAGCAGAGAGGTATTATAGTATACGGTGAAACCTCGTTAAGAAGAACACTGATAAGACAAACTTTCGCTTAACTGGGTAAGACGCATGCATAAGAAGAACTCCCGTTATTGCGAACAAATACCGTCGGTCCCTTGATGTTCGTCCTAAAGAGGTTCCACTGTACAGTCAAACCTCTTTAGGACGAACACCAAGGGACCGATGATATTTGTTCGCAATAACGGGAGTTCTTCTTATCCATGTGTTTTACCCAGTGAATACACAGGGTTTTATCCAATACAGTTACGAATACTATTTCTTCTTAGGCAAACATTTGTCTTGTCAGTGTTCTTCCTAACAAGGTTTCACTGTAGTTTTAATGAGAAGAGGATGAAGATTGTGTTGTTGTTAAAAAATATCTTCATTGTTACGAGTGCACGGTAAATTTCATTCATTGATTTTTGCAGCTATTGTCTCGTCATGGCATATTTACCTTCCATATCTACTACGTATGAAATCTTACCTCTTCACAATTCTTCTTGCTCAAAGTAATTTCCTTCACCGTGTTCTTGAAGTACCACACCCAGCATGGCCCTTCAGGTGTGCCGTACGTGTCGCAGGAGAATGTCCATACGTGAGACCTGGATGCACACGGCAAAGCAAGTTAAAGACAATGAACAGGCCCGCCGGAACCGGACCGGTCGGTCACGTTATCACCGGACCAACTTTTGGGCCACCAACACGTGCTTGCTACTGTGAAGGTCATGTGTACCCGCCATATCATACACAAAGTATTTTACAGGCCATTTTTATTGCCGGACCAATCAAAAACTGCTTCCGGCGGGGTGGGGATGGGGGTGGGGGTGGGGGTGGGGGTAGGGGTGGGGGTAGGGGTGGGGATAAGACGCACTGTGGTGAGTATGGTGCTGACCATCCCACTTCTAGTCACAGATACTTCACCTTAAAATGCACTCATTTTGGCCCTCGATTTTTCTTAATGTTGTAGCATAATAGGGAAGATCCCTGGACTGGCATCTACCATGGCTGAGTGTAACTGTTACCATCCAACATGCCTTCCAACACCCCAGTATGAATACCTTCCAACTCCCCAGTATGAATGCCTTCCAACTCCCCAGTATGAATGCCTTCCAACTCCCCAGTATGAATGCCTTCCAACACCCCAGTATGAATGCCTTCCAACTCCCCAGCATGAATGCTCGTATTACATTGATGTTAGCACCAATGTTTGTCTCATGCAGCATGTCCCCCCCCCCCCCCCCACCCCCCTATCGGGCAGGCCCGGCCAATATTTAGGCGGGTTTGGGGTGTCCTAAAACTAACGTCGCAATGGTTGAATGCCGAAGCTAAACCCATACACCTGTGCTGATGCATTACATCACAATCACTGCACTACCCCCAATCCCCAGGGTGTTGTGTACCATGCTTAGTCCATTGGCGGTCCTCATGTTCTCAGGCATGTGCTGTGGCTGGCGCAACAAATCAAATACTATGCAGTACCGTATTATCCAGAGTATACCCCCTACTGGAGTATACCCCCCACTGGAGTATACGCCCCACTGGAGTATACCCCCCACTGGAGTATACGCCCCACTGGAGTATACCCCCACTGGAGTATACGCCCCACTGGAGTATACGCCCCACTGGAGTATACCCCCACTGGAGTATACGCCCCACTGGAGTATACGCCCCACTGGAGTATACGCCCCACTGGAGTATACGCCCCACTGGAGTATACCCCCACTGGAGTATACCCCCACTGGAGTATACGCCCCACTGGAGTATACCCCCACTGGAGTATACGCCCCACTGGAGTATACGCCCCACTGGAGTATACGCCCCACTGGAGTATACCCCCCCCCCCCCCACACACACACACACTGGAGTATACGCCCCACTGGAGTATAAGGCGCATACAGACTTTTTGGCGACATGCAGACACCTACCCTAGATATCACCATAAATTTGACCATTGCGGTATAAACCGCACTGGCACTGGCACTTTTGGGTGAGTTAGTGGTGTTTAAAGTATGGCTTATACTCCACAAATACGGTACACAAAATCAGATGCAGTGCACTAAATATTACTAGCCAGTTTCAATGCGCTCTGCATAGTAAGGGCAGTGGTCATTCTCTCTCCCTCACCCATACATCAGGGGTGAAACGACTGACCCAAATTCCTCATCGACTGGATTCAATCCTATCGACTGACTATCGACTGGTTACCGACTGACATTGCCCTCACACATGAACACAAGCACGGCATATTTACGCATGCATGCATGCACATGCATAGTCACACACCCGTGCATAAGCAAACAAAAGCGCAATATGAGCAAATTGTAGGTTTCAACATCAAACTAAAGCGAATCGGATTCAGGTGCCAAGTGTACTTCTCAATACATGGCCTGAACTCGAAAGCCAAGTGCATGATAAACTATGCAGGGGTGAATTTACTGTCACGTTTTTGCATAGCAGTTTTTGCCATGCAAAATCTCAATTGTGGTGTAAGCTACAAAAAGCATGGACAGCCTGTACATGTATGTATCGCAGTTTTCTGCGTGTCACTGTGATTTTTGAGTAGCAGTAGATCGATTTTGCATAGCAAACTGCGATGCGATACCGGATAAATTCATCCCTGCTATGTGTACTTCTGGGCATTTATACATGTATTCTTTTAGGGTTTACCGGGTGTTAGCGGCCGTCGTGAGTTCCCTTCGGGAACGGACACGATAATTTACTTTTTTTACTTTATTCTTTTTAACATGTGAGTGAGTTGATAAGGGTTTCCTTCTATTGACTCAACCTTATCGACTCAGTCGTTTCACCCCTACCATAATAATTATGCATAGCTTACTTGGAAATCCTATGTATTTTAAGCTTGCCGACCGGACATTCCGGACAATCCCCAATCAGCTCCCCGACAGCTGCCGTGGAATAGTTGCGCATGGCCTCGCGGGTGGGATCTGATAACAAGCAGCAATAAGTACACGATAACGTAACGATAAGTTAACTAGCGGCCTCAATTAGTTTCTACATGTTCAGTTTAGCTCGGCAAAACTCAATAGAAAAGTTCTTTTTCTAACACCCACCCTTTAACCAGACACACGCTGTGCACGTACGTGCTTAATTAAGGACCCGGTCACAATTATAATTATACAATTCGCCATCATGTCCCTGCTCCTCCAGTGGAACAGCTCTCCAGAAACCCTCATCAGCAAGTTTAAGTAGAGGCAAGAAGCCGCTTTGTAAACGGTCACGAATTTCAGTATTTTCAACCAACCCCGCCCTTTAATCAAAATGCAAGACAGAATGTATTTCACTGACGGGAATTTTGTTCCGTACAAATGTTTGCACACTGAACACATGAAGAGTCAAAGCATGTAGTCTTTCACATCACACATCATAATAATGCTTATGCTCCAGTTGGTTTGGAGCAGGGTTACTTAAAGGGAGCCCATCTCACCTCGCTCCTTGTCAGGAAAGAGGCTTGCCAAAACTTTGTCGTTGCCAAAGGTGACCTCCTCGTCGCAAAATGCACACGCGATCAGGCTGGGGAGCATGGAGGAATCACACCGGAAAGAAACCATCGCATGCGCACCGAACAATATTCTTGACTGGGTTACAGGCATTTCTCAAAGTGCAAAGACCGTCCACTGTACCCATCCACTATACCCATACATCTTCACAACTCTCCAAACGATCTCTGCGCTGCACCCATCACTAGAAGAAAAAGAGATAACCATTCGAGTTTTCGACCAAGGCCCATATTCAGGAGCGTTTGCAGTGTCTGCTCTAGGATTGTAGGACAGCCAGGTGCACGTGTACCTGGTGCAACCGTTTCAACTGGGTTGGAGCCGGGTACACATGTACCTGGCGCTGTCTTACCAGCCGAGTCACATGCTTTAACTGGTTGGTTGGTTTATTTTAATTCGGACAATAAACGGGAACTAGGCCCAATGATATAAAGGCGAATGGATAAGCCGCATTTAGAAAAGAGAGGACAGAAATGAGAAAATTACGAAATAATAATAATGACAGTTCGCATAATCACTCATTGCATGAGGTCAACGCATCTGTTAACAATTTCGAGCCAAGCAGCTCTATCAGAAGCAGATTGCACAGCATCCAGAAGCGAGAGATTAATGCATTGTAAGTCTTTCTTGACAACGTCGATCCATCTCAGACGTGGTCGTCCGCGGGGTCGTCGTATGTCTGTTGTGTTGATTGACATGAGGAGGGCTTGGGAAGAGGACGATTCTGCGCCTTCCCTCACTACATGGCCGAACCACAGCAGTCTCCGTTGCCTGCAGACTTGGGATAGTGGGGTCTGCTCGGTTCTGGCATACAGCGCTGTGTTCGAGATTCGTTGTGGGTACGTGATACCAATGATGGTACGTAGTTTCTTCCGGTGCCATACATTGACGACGTCGGTTAACGTTTGTGATAAGGTCCAAAGCGCACAATTGTACAGCAAGACAGGCAATATCAGGCAGGAAAACATACACAGCCTGGAATTCAGGTTGTGGTGTTTCCATGGAATGCTTGCAAATGCCCGATTGGCAGCAGACACTCTAGCTGCTATGTCTTCTGCTGTGCCTAGCATACTCCCCAGCAGCTTCACCGATTTCCAGGAATCATCTTCCTTGGTCACAGTGAAGTATTGAGTTTTTGCCACGTTAAGCTTCAGATTGTCATCCGAGAAAACGGGTTCACACACACGGACGGTTTCTTCCACCGATGATCGCTCGTTCTGATGGGCAGTGGTGTCGTCTGCGTATTGTGTGAAAGTTGCTGGTAGGTCTGATGCGGGTAGAGCTTGCTCTCGGATCTTACAATAAATTACGAAAGAAGAAGAAGTATCTGACACATACAAGCCATGTAGTCAGTCCTTTCAAAGTTCGAAAGTGTAAAGTACCAGCCGGGTCACAGGTGACCCGGTACTATATTTTCAACCGGGTCCAAGCGCCGCCCAACCGGGCGGATTACCCGGCTCACCCGGCGCTGGAGCAGACACTGCGTTTGGAGAGTGTTGTGAGGATGTATGGGCAGGTCACAGGTATGTAAAGCATTGGTGAGACAACACCATGTGACAATACACACATCACACCAGCAGGGTAAGCTAAGGTAAGCAAAGTTAACATGGCGCATGCGTGAACGGACCCGTGATAATGCAGCAGGACTAAGATATAACCGGCCATACTAACACAGCAGATAATGCTATTGACGACCCCTTCCTAGATTCCTCCCTTTAAAAACTTCGGCCATGCATCATCGGTATAAAGTAAGTGTGAGTGAATGCATGTGTGGTTATGTTGCATACAATTTAATAAGTTAGCACATTAAAATCTAATACAAATTAGAACGAGGTCTATATCGTTATCCAAGAGATGACCAATAAGCGACGTCCCCGCCAAGGGCCTTATCAGAGTTAAAAGCCCGCTCAATTATACAATTTTACTACTCATTGAATACGCGTCGAGGGCCTTGGATTACCGGTAGTTTAAAGCCCACTGAATGTACTCTAAACAGGGGCGTACAACGTCATGTACGCATTATAGTACGGTGCAGATCATGAACTCTACAGAACATGTACGGTGTACAACTACGTGTGTTGTGGTTCGCATTCAGCCCGCACACTACTCATACACAGTTCCACTGATACGCAAGGATCGGAGAGTTTAGAAATACATTGCATTGAAAGGGAACATGGAAGTAAAGGTAAAACCAGAGAGGAAAGACATGCAGCACCGGAAGCCAAGATGGATCCAAGGAGAAGCACATTACACACATGCGCACACTCTAGATACAGAGAGTGCTGCATAGCAACAGTAACTACGCTAATGGCAACAGTAACTACGTGCATGGTAACAGTAGCTAAGATAATCTGATAATGACGTCACACATAGAATGCATGTAATCTAGGACTGTGACATTGCACATAGCATGCATGCAATCCATAACAACGTGTAAAAGCAAGAGTACGTAACCCTCCAAGAGTGTGCAACTCGACTATGGGTGCTGTCCCGACAGAATTTCAAGTTGATGTCATTTTTATGATGCAATGCGCACTGTACACGGATTATGAGACGAATCCGGAACCTGTGATGGACCAAAGCCTATCTGATCCTGTACAAATTATTGCAAAGAAAAACGTGTGATGCGTTGACACCTGTACACATGACGGTTGTAAATCACTGGTGCAAGGAGCATTGCATCATAATTATTAATGACGTTAACTTGAAATTCTGTCGGGACAGCAGGGTATGTGGGCGTTGCACACTCTGGGGGTTATGTACTCTTGGAAAAAAGGCTAAAAGCCACGCATTTCAGAAGTGTATACGGTAATTGCCTGCTGCATTCTTTGATCTGTACGATATCCCTTTGTCCACAGCTGGCGGAACCCTATATAAAACCACAATCGAACTCACTATAGGTAAGGAAAGGGGGCTCTCGAAGCCCCTAAATAGCTCCACAAGCTATCAATATTGACTGAAGTTCACAATAAGAGCCCTGCATTTTATTTCCTTCTCCTTTTTCTAGTACAGTAAAGCCGGTAACTAAAGACCACCGTGACTGGCGACCAGCCTGGTACTACAGACCACTTCGCCAGGCACGGACGGTCTCACATTATGGTTGTGCGGTGCAAGCCTCTAACTAAGGACCACCTGCCACTAAAGACCGCTTTTTTCTGGCCCCAAGGGGTGGCTGTTAGTCACAGGTTTTACTGTACACCGTGTGTTGAGTTACCAGAATAAGAAATCATACCCTACCAATTCTCCTCTGCACACAAACTACGAAACTACCCAATAAAAGGGTACACAAGTAAATGCGTTCCAGGTCTTACTGCGAAGTACATTGAAACTCAATTTGGCAAAGAAGATCCTGACATGCTGCAGCGAACATGGAAATCCAGTTGATTGACCGGGCCCGGTGCCCTCAGCGCGTACAGAACGCTAGCGCTGCGTGCAGTACGCATGCTGACATGATCCGATGGGAACAGCGCGCTGCAGTGCATACGTGCATGTGTGCATCACTTATCCACGGCTGCATGGCCAGCGCCCTGGAGCCGCTAGACGTGCGACCGGATTTCCATGTCCACGACAGTAGCTTGAAAATTTACTGCTGGGTCAGCTTCCATGTAAGGGGGATAATAACCTCATTCTAAAATAGTTAGTGCATGGCAGGTCGAGTCTAATGGCTTGTTTGTTTGCGCCCTTCAGGTTAGCCCTCGGGCACTAACAAGCCATAAGGCCCTCCCTGCCATGCACTGCCCTATAAATAGTGAAACAACAAATGTTTCAATAGTTCCGACCACATTCTTCAGTGGCACTTTTTTTAAAGAACCAGTTTACTCGGATACGTCATCTTGGCAGTTGATCATCTCCAGGGCCATATGCATGTACTCATAAAGAGTGCAATGCACCATGGAAACCTACCCTTGCTTGCAACTAGACGGAATTTTCCTGGCAGGAAAAGTGAATTTTACCTTCCTCGCGTCGCATCCCTACAGAAGATGATGAAACACAGATGAAATGGCATATATTATAATCGTAACTCCATTCCAGCCACGCTGCCTCAGTGACAGTTTAGGGGAATAGGGCTTGAAAGTGCTATGTCACAGCATAGCAACAATTTCAAAAATTCAAAAACTGGATCCACTTGGATCCAGTTTTTGTATGGATCCAAGCACATTTCAAGCGGTCTTACCCACAGCATGGTGATGTAGCCAGTGAAACTGACTGATTTGGCTACTGGGGGCGGGGTTACAACTGGTGGCGAAATAAAAGTCACACCTGCATGCGACATGAGTGGGTTGCTATGCACCCACATACTTAGGCAATAGCAAAGTCACACCTTAGTGGATCCAAAAATAGAAATCTGATGTCAACTTACTACTCCCTGGCCGTTTTGACGTCATCACTTTCAAGCCCTATTATGGTCCAGAATCAAAATTTCACTACTCGTAGTCTTCAGGGTGCTGAGTCGAACAGTTTTGGTCCGACTAAGCTAATACAAACACGCTCCCTTCCTCTTATATTCCCAATCGAACTCACCATTTCCACCAAAACTGCGTGACTGTGCCCTACTAGATGGTGATTTGTACGCAAAATGTCAAAAACAGCGCCATTTCGTTCTTATAAAAGCACGGATGAAAGAGATTGGCCCATTATGTTGTAGTCTTTCGGACGCTGGGTCGACTGGTTTTACAGGGGCGTAGCTGGTCCCCCTTTTAGGGAAGTGCACGGCCGCGTATGTGTAGGATGGCTGGTGCATGTCATTCATGGTCATTATGTGCATGCTGAACCTATAGTCTGTTTCAAAAAGATTAGCAATCAGGTTTTGGTCTTAAAAAGTATGAAGATAAGGGGAAATTGGACAACGAAGTACATAAAGGGCTGGTTAGGGCACGGCAAATTGTTCTGTGAAGGTTTCGGAACAATTGGACCAGCCGTTAAGGAGTTAGAATTTCGGCCAGGTTTCCGGCCTTTTCCCATGGTTTACAATTTGCCCTGGAAGCCAGTATCGATTTTTCTATCAAAACCCACGATTTATCTTTCCTTTCTGGCCTTGTGGTTATGGATGCTGTCTGCTGACCATGAAGTTGTGAGTTCAAATCCCAACCTATCTTCAACTCACACGTTTTTCATTGTTTTTTGGTGATCAAGCAGACTTGTTGTTGTTCACGGTTGTTGTTGTTGGAGCTCCCGCTTCCTCCCGAACTAACTGACACTTGACTGGCTCACGCCATGTGAACACACCCACAACACTGAAACGGTGTGAGTGAATACGGAAGTCATTGCGCTGTAGCTACGTGTTGAATACACCGGCACATCGATCGATCGATTTCTTTTTGAGAATTATTTTAGTATTTCAAGATCGCCAATTTATTCGAATTTAGAAGTCAACGCCGTCTTCTATCAGCTTCCACAGGCATCTGCTTTTCTCAAAATGTTGTCGAAGTCATACGGATAGCTTCGCCAAGTCATGGCCTTGGGAATGAGTCTGCGTCGATGTCGTTTTCGTCACATGGTGAGAGTAAATTGCATCGCAGCTCAAAGAAACTATTTGGTCACAAAACATATTGGGACCCATGCCGCTTGTCAGCCTCGGCATTGACTACACTTTCGACATGTCCTCTCTGACTCCATAATCGATACGAGGAAGAACTCGTTTGTTGTTAAAGGGGAAGTTAAGGCAAAAATTAAAATTTCACCAGTTGTAGTCTTCGGGGTACTGAGTCGAATGGCCATGGTCCGAGGAAGCTGAGACGCTCCCTTCCTACTTGAATCCCAATCGAACTCGCGCACTTCCACCGAAACTGGGTGACTGCGCCCTACTAGATGGGGATTTGTATGCAAAATGTCACTAAAAGCGCCATTTCGTTCTTATAAAAGCATGGATGACCGCGATTGGCCCATATGTTGTAGTCTTTTGGACGCTGAGTCGATTGGTTTTGGTCCGAAAAGGCTGCGATGCAGCGGTCCTCCTTTATTCCCAATCGAAAATGGTTGAACAAGCGGTCACGTGCTCCTGCGAACGCCAGTCAACTGGTCACCGTGCCTGCAGGGTACAACTTACTAGCCTGTTTGACCTTTTTTGGGTGCAGTCCTGTCACTCGAGTTGAACTCGAGTTGAACCTTGGTGTGAAAGTTGTCGCCTGCTGGCGTGGTGACCAGATGATTTGGGCACCCAGGAGCACGTGACCGCTTGTTCAACCATGTTCGATTGGGAATAAAGGAGGAACGCTGCATCGCAGCCTTTTCGGACCAAAACCAGTCGACTCAGCGTCCAAAAGACTACAACATATGGGCCAATCGCGGTCATCCATGCTTTTATAAGAACGAAATGGCGCTTTTAGTGACATTTTGCATACAAATCCCCATCTAGTAGGGCGCAGTCACCCAGTTTCGGTGGAAGTGCGCGAGTTCGATTGGGATTCAAGTAGGAAGGGAGCGCCTCAGCTTTCTCGGACCAAGACCATTCGACTCAGCACCCCGAAGACTACAACTGGTGAAATTTTAATTTTTGCCTTAACTTCCCCTTTAACCAGACGTACACAACTGTACCGACATCGACCTGAGTGAGTTGTCATTTTTCATGCTTTTGCGCGGAATATTTCTTCGAGTTCACAGTGAGTTTTTCCAGGCAGCGCTCGAGCGCTCATACGGTAAGACGGCAAACTCCCCGGGCGATCACCAGGATTGCTAATCTTTTTGAAACTGGCTGTAGGCCGAAGTTTTAAGTGCGCACTCATATGATATGACAAACATAGCAACCAAAGCAGTTTTATGTGACTAGGAGTGAAGCATTTATCTACACTAGAGACTTGAGAAAATGCAGTAGATCCAACACATTCTCGCACATGACAGTTTCTATGATAGATACCCACCGGTTCTTTGCACCAGGCTCTTGCCGCCTCAATTTTTTCGCACGCGTTGTAGTGAAGAATTGTGTCGCAATCGTCTTGCTTGGCATGCTTCTGTGTGCAGACGACAATGTGGCTGGGCAGAACGGCAATCCAAACAGAAAATTTGAATTATAAAAGGTATTACGGATGATGTGAGACGCAGTGCAACTGTACAGAATGTCCGTATCCACAGAAACGCAACCACCCTCAAGGATCGCAAAATCTCGTCAACCTATCACAACCATCAGCATGGATCATTCACTCAAGTTAAGTTTAGTAGAAGGAAGCTGACTTGTCAAAACAATTCAACTGTTACGACAACATAAACTATTTTAAAAAGCTGATTGAGATAATAATTTTTAATCCTAGTGCCTCATGTTCTTGAAACTGATTTGGCTGAAGTAGAGTAACCCTCTTGCGCATGTTGTACGTAATGTAATGATTGATACGTACTTTCGATATTGATTTCGCTGGTGCACACGTTGGTGCAGTGCTGGTACACGCGCTGGTGCACGCGCTGATGCACGCGCTGGTGCAGCCAGTTGTTTTCCGTTGTACGTGATGCAGCTTGTTGAGGAAAAGGGTTTTCAATATCTTGTGTTCAGTTCTTCTTGCTTCTGGCCTCGTCGAGGTCGTGCTTTTTTCTTCTGTAAACTTCTTGTGCATTTTGGAATTGAAATTAACCCTTTCACTGCCAGCTGACCACTCAAGGTGACAAGGCGCTCCCTGCCAGGCTGTCAGCTGAGCTGTACACCCCCTCCCTGCCAGGCACTTTTTGCCTCCAGCTCGAAAAATCGAAAGGCCAACTTCTCATGGATTTTTTGGTACTTTCTGTACGGAATATCGCTTTCCAAAGTATACATCGTAGGTAGACAACTCATAAAGAAAGCCATTGCCGTAGAAAAAAATCGCAAAATCCGAAGTACAACCGTGCTGGGCGCTCTAGCGCCAGCCGCTGTGCAAAAATGCATGTCATGTCATGCGAAAGTGCGCCGTGCGCCGCATGCGCTACATACACTATGTACACGATCGGCCCGGACACTCGCGAAGTAAAGTTAGTTGTTGTTGTTTTGGAGAGAGAAGCAGATCCTTTTTTTGTTAGCTGGGATTGAAAGATCTGCCAGTGGCCCGGAGAGCTACAACACTGGAAGCAGAAGAGATGGCGTGCGGAATGTTCTCGGTCTTCGTGGCAACAGGACTTCAGTTGCGAGAGACTTTCGTCCTGTTGTTGCGGACGAAATTCTAGTTGCTGCCACCAGAAAACTCGGAGAACGAAACGATCGTAAGTCGTTTGGTGAAGCAGATCGTGTCGGTGAACAGCTGCGGAATGTTCTGCCGCCATGGTGGTCGTTTGTTCTTCTGACTAGCAGCAGTCCGAATACATTTCGACTTCGGAGAGTGAAGCGCTTCCCTGTTCCGTTGACAAGCGTGGCGTTCGCGGGTGTAATGCACTTTCGCATCAGCTTGCAGTAGATCGTCAGGTATTGAGCTTGAGGTAGGTGTCGTTGTAGAAAGAATATAATTATGTTGTAGCTGACATACCTGTAGTGTCTCTTGACTGTGCTGGTCGCCATTGTAACGTGGTAGTTCTTGGAAAAGTTTAGTTCTGGACTCGGTGAGCGCCGCCAGCGCTGTTTCCGCCAAGTTTGCAGTGAATGCGTCCGTGAGGAATCCGTCGTGTGGTTGTCTCTACCCGTGACTCCAACCGCCTATCGCAATGGATAGCCGCCTGGAGTCTTGGGCAATGGCTAGGCATCAAGTCTGAACCAAATGTCATGCTCCTTGCAATGAAAGTTGACGGGAAAGAGAAAAAAACTGGCACCGACTCAGCAAGGTGGAAGTGCGTGAGAACCGATTTCTTCCGCGCCGCTCGGCTAAAAATCAGATGCGCATTTTCAACGACGCTGGTTCGATTTTTTTCAAATGGCAACCCATGCTTCTGGCAGCGTATTTCGATGGGTATGGACCTCTTCTAGGGCCTAGTGGCCCTCTACCACGGCTAAACATCTCCAATAGTCAAAAATAGTGGCCCAAACTGGGTGAAGTCTGCCTGTCGACAAAAGTCGACGGTGGCACTGGGGACTGCATGTTTGCTTGTCGACTTTCGTCGACAGTGGCACTCAGAGTGCATGAATGCGCTGTCGACTTTCGTCGACAGTGGCAGTGAAAGGGTTAATAATTATAGTCCAACTTATATCCTTGCGCTGGTCTGGTGGTGGATAATTCCACAACAACGTGGTACCAAAACCCGGTTTTGAGTGGACCGTTGGCGCTTTGTGGTTAGGTTCTCGGAGAGTATTAATTTTGTTATTTCACTGCCTGTTTCAGTAGTAATGGCGTCGTCTGCTGGGCATTCCTTGTTGGGGCCGTATCGTGGAGGAGATGACGACCTGGAAGCGTTCTTGCTGAAATTCCGCGTGGTGTCACGAATACAGAAATGGACGTCGGAGGCTAAAAGAATGGACCACTTTCCTTTATTCCTAGACAAGGACGCGTTCACTGTTTGGAGTGCGCTGCCGGACGTCGAGCAGACCAGTGAGGAGGTTGTCCATGGTGCGCTCCGAGCCGCTTTCTGCATCACGCCAGCAGAGGCGTATAAGAAGTTTGTGGCCAGAACTCTTCGTCGGGGAGAGAGCGTTGACGTCTACTTGGCCGACTTGAGGAGGTTTCTCCGCCAGAGTGGTCATGTGGAAGCGCGTGACACTTCGTCAGGGAAGTCATGTGACCCAGTGCTCCTGGAGCAGTTTCTGCTTGGCATTCCGCAGGTGCTGGCATGTCAGGTGCACCTCCAGCATGCCTTGCACTGTATGACTGTGGATCAGTGTGCGGATCAAGTTCACGTGTTGGTTTCTGCAACGCAGGTGTCGGCTGCACCAGTACAGGGTGCACGTTCTGCGACATTTGCAGCGACGTCGTCTAGTAGCAGCGGACCTAGCAAGCGGTTTGTGTTGTGTTACGGGTGTAATAAGGTCGGCCATATTCAGCGGAATTGCCCACAGCTACCTAAGTCACCAGCATCCGGCGAACCTGTTTGCTATGGTTGCAAGGAGCGAGGCCACGTCCGCAGTGCGTGCCCCCAGCGGAAGAGGTGTGCTGGAGCAGCTGCGAGTGAGGGTGTCGGCCATGTCTGCGTCGCGTCGGAGATTGATGGGCCCGCAGTAGCGTTGCCACGGATCTTCTTGCCTGTGAAGCGTTGTGATGCGGTGGCGTTTCGGCGTTGTGTTGCTGCCATCGACTCGTGCTCAACACACACGTTGGTGTCTCGTCAGTTGGCAGAGGACTTGGCACTGGAGGTGACGACGTCAACGCCTGATATCATCACCGTTGACGGCAATACACTCAAGGTATTGGGCTCGGCTGTTCTGGATGTCGAGTGGGTGGACGAGACGGTATTTCTGCCTTTCTCGTCTGTGTCTGTATCAATTGTTCCGGAGTTGAGTGTTGTGAATGCGGATGTGCTTCTGGGCCTCAACCTGATATCGCAGCATGGCGGAGTCGACCTCAAGTACGCGGACTCCAAGCTCGTCGGAGCATCTTTCGGTCAAGCAGCTTCAGCTTCCGCAGATGTGCCCAGTTCGGACGTGCGCAGTGATGATGGTGATTCGCCTCAGCTGCTACGCCATGTTACCGTGGAGCATGACGGGGAAGATGTCATTCTGACCACTGCGGATGGGTCAGTTCGTTGGCGCGCTGATGTTGGCTACTGGGAGCTTACGTGGGCATGGAAAGACGACCCCCCCCCCCCCCACGCGTCCAGTCGGGTCAGGCATTGGTGAATATTCCCGGCATAGCCTGTCAACAGACCAGGAGTCACAGTTCTGCGAGGAAGTGGACATGTGGATCCGCAATGGATGGTTGGTAACCCATGACCAAGCAGTCCATGGTGAGCCTGGTGCTGTGTTGCCCTTGTTGGCGGTGGCCCAGACGCACAAGGAGTCCACCCCTGTCCGCCCGTGTTTGGACTACCGGCAACTCAACAAGTTGATTGTGTCGCATCCAGGTTTGGACGTGCCTGTTTGCCAAGAGAAGTTGCGTCAGTGGAGGTCTATTGGCAACGCCGACAGCCACGTGTTGCTGGACATCAGCAAGGCTTACCTCAACATCCGCATCGCGCCAGCTCTCGCCAAGTTCCAAACGGTCGTCTGGAAGGGCCAGCTGTTTGCAATGGAGAGGATGGGCTTCGGTCTATCGATTGCGCCCAAATTCATGGACATAATCGTCAAGTGGGTCCTCCGTGCGTATGCTGATGTGGACAACTATGTCGACGATTTGTATGTTCCGAAGCCTCGTCTGCGTGCTGTCACCGATCAGTTGTCGCAGTACGGGTTGCTCACCAAGCCAGCGGAGCCAGTCGTCTCTGCTAGGGTACTTGGTGTGCAGCTGTCAGAGTCTGCAGATGGCCAAGTGAGGTGGAAGCGTTGTGGTGACGTCATGCCGACCTGTCAGCCCGATGCCATCACACGACGCGAGATTTTCAAGTGGTGTGGCAAGCTGACCAGCCACTATCCCGTCGGCTCCTGGCTGCGCCCAGCGTGCAGTTATCTGAAGCGTCTGTCTACCCTTCAGCCTGGATGGGATGATCCAGTGTCTCATGAAGTCGTCGCTTGTTGTGCGGAAGTCATTCACCGTCTGCAGACCGATGACCCTGCGCAAGGTGTGTGGTCAGTTCCTGAAGGCGCACAGTGGTCGTTGTGGTGTGATGCTTCGGACATCGCACATGGTGCTGTCATTCAGGCCGATGGTATGATCGTCGAGGATGGCTGCTGGCTGCGGCAGAAGGACGACCGGCGACACATTAACATCGCTGAGCTTGACGCCGTGATCAAGGGATTGAACCTTGCCGTGCAGTGGCAAGTGAAGGAGCTCACGCTATTCACCGATTCCAAGACTGTGGCTGCTTGGTTGCAATCGGTGCTTGGCAATGTGTCTCGTGTTCGCGTCAGCGGCCTGCAGCAGGTACTTGTGCAGCGCCGTCTCCAGATTATCACTGATCTCGTCGCTGTCACGGGCTTGACGGTCAAGGTCCAGTGGATCAGCAGTCAGCAGAACAAGGCGGATCAATTGACGCGTGTTCCCAGCAGCTGGATCCGATGTGGTAAGACGCTCCTTGCTCGGACTGCACCGTCCGTCACCGCTGCGGTGGTGACCGTTGGTCCATTCTCATTGGACAGAGTATCTGCTGCTCAGAATGCAGATCCTCGGATTGTTTCGACTCGCCAGCAAGTCATCGATGGTGACCCAGTTACTGATCCTGCGTTTGTCAAGATAAAGTCACAGCTCGTAGTCCATGATGGTATGCTGTGTCGAAGTGTGAAGTTGCCGCCCAATGATGCAGTCGTCATTCCTGTTATTCCTAGTTCACTCGAGTCCGATGTCGTTCGTGCTGCTCATGCGAACTGTGGTCATGCGTCTTGGGAGGGTACATGGCGCTTCCTCCGCTCGAAGTGCTATTTCCCGAACATGGCTGCCCAATGTCAGCAGTTTGTGCGCCACTGTTCGCCGTGTGCTGCTGCCAGCCCAACCAAGGGCGTTTCGGCGGAGGCCAGTCGCCCTGTGGTGGCTGATGGCCCATGGAGTGTTGTAGTAATTGATACTCTGGAACTGGGCATCGATCAGAGTGGAGAGTACCATTGTGTTCTCGTCTGCATGGATACTTTCACCAAGTGGGTGGAGGTGGTTCCGCTCCGTCAACATGACGCGGCATCAGTGGCCGAGGCATTTGTCGGCCTGTGTACGCGGTGGGGCCCGCCCCGAGTGGTCCGCTGTGATAATGGCACGGAATTCATCAACGCCGTGATGTCATCGCTGTTTGACACGTTTGGTGTGACAGTGCTCAACGGTGCCGTGCGTCATTCCCAATCACAGGGATCTGTTGAGCGATTTAACCGCACTCTCCTCACCCTAATTCGGAAGGTTTTGGATGAGGCTGATGATTGGCGATCTGAGCTGGACGTGTTATTGTATTTCTACCGTATTCGTCCGCACTCTGTCCTCAAGATTTCTCCTATGCGTGCGATGCTTGGCTGGGAGCCCACCAGTGTGCTCTTCTCGGCTAATCCTGGGCTGGGCCGGACTCCATCTGATCTTGAACGCCAGGCTGCCCGGATCCGTGATTTTGTGGAAGCTGAGCTGTCCTCCAAGGACTTTGTTGAGTCTGACGATGATAACTGTCTGTTCGCCGTTGGTGATGCCGTTCTTCTACGTCGTTCCCATCGTCGCCAGAAATGTGAGCCGCCCTATGAGCGTGACTGGGTGGTCATTCACATTGTGTCCCCCTCTACTGTGGTAATTCGCAATGAGGCTGGTGGTGGTGAGAAAGTGGTGAATGTTGAACTGCTGAAGCCTGATGTTGGTGCTGAGGTGTTTGTTGATGTGCCTGCTGCGGATGCTGTTGCTGATGTGCCTGCTGCAGATGCTGTTGCTGATGTGCCTGCTGCGGATGCTGTTGCTGATGTGCCTGCTGCAGATGCTGTTGCTGATGTGCCTGCTGCAGATGCTGTTGTTGATGTGCCAGCTGCGGGTGCTGTCCCTGATGCTGGGTCTCGGTTTGATCCCCGTGATCCTAATTATGTGCCGCTTCGAACCCCTGCCGATGATCCTGCTCCGTATCAGTTTCGCCCATATGGCCTCCGTCAGCGTGGTTCGCTTGCACCCCCTCAGCGCTTCCGTTAGTTTTGCTTTGTGGCGCTATTTAGTATTTGTGGTGGTATTTTCTTTGGCATACCACCAGGGGGAGAGGTGAAGTAGAGTAACCCTCTTGCACATGTTGTACGTAATGTAATGATTGATACGTACTTTCGATATTGATTTCGCTGGTGCACACGTTGGTGCAGTGCTGGTACACGCGCTGGTGCACGCGCTGATGCACGCGCTGGTGCAGCCAGTTGTTTTCCGTTGTACGTGATGCAGCTTGTTGAGGAGAAGGGTTTTCAATATCTTGTGTTCAGTTCTTCTTGCTTCTGGCCTGGTCGAGGTCGTGCTTTTTTCTTCTGTAAACTTCTTGTGCATTTTGGAATTGAAATTAATAATTATAGTCCAACTTATATCCTTGCGCTGGTCTGGTGGTGGATAATTCCACAACATGGCGCATGGCTTGGCATGGCATGGCATGGCTTCGGGTGCACTATAACAAGTAGTAAATTACGACTACGCTAAATGTCTAAATGTCTTATAGTGTCTCCACAGCAAGTAGTGTAAAACCGGAACGTTTTAAAACAACCAATAAGTTCAACGTTTTTGTAATAACGAAGGGAGCATTTCAGCTTCCTTGACCAATACCATTGGACTCAGCACCCCAAAGACTACCAGTACGGCAGTAGTGAAATGTTGCAGTTAGACCGTACTAGTACTTCCCCTTCAATAACACCATGGCAGGGTGGCGTAACGTCCCCCCCCCCCCCTACTCTGATTGAGCACCTCCCCTCCCCCGTACTCATGTGTCGATTTGTTTGTCTTTTCATGCCATTCAATGAAAATGCAGCCTCTAGTCTGAGAGTTCACAACGGCACATGTGTGTGGGGTGATGTCGGGGTTCGCCCCAGAACGTTGCATTTGGCATGGCAAGAGACTTTTAGAAAATGGAACAATGTGTGACAGGGTACCGTAATTCCGCGCATATCAGTCCATGGGCTTATATGTGAAACAATGCAGTTTGGGGATAAAATATCCAGTAAAACATGTTCGTTTTTTAGCCCATGGGCCAATATTCGAATTTTGAAGGTTCACAAAAAAGTACAAGTCCATGCTCATGGTCAGTCTTCCACACTCTACTGGTAAACTGCACTGACCTGCTGTACCATGGTAGGAAGAGTCCATTTTGTGAAAAATTCTACTTGACACGTGAGTTGCATTTGTGTCTGTTTATTAGCCTATGGGCTTATAAACGGAGGTGGGCTTATATCCGGATATAGGCCCATGGGCTTATAAATGGAGGTGGGCTTATATCCGGATATAGGCTCATGGGCTTATATCCGGATATAAGCCCATGGGCTTATATACGCGGAATTACGGTAACTGTTTCCCCTACTATTTTGACCTGGTTATAACCCTGTAACACCGTACATGTACTCACTGATTTTGTTTTTTCCAATAGGCAATTCGAAGCCAACCGCCTTCTTTCCCCTTTTCCACACACTTGGGGCAGCGTTGTAAACCTTAGCATTCAAAGAAAGAAAGAAAGTCAAAAAGAGGCCAGATTCTTGCAATTGGCTCATCATATTTTTCATAACTGCTGCGGTGTCACACACAGAAACACACGTATACGTGCACACACACATACACACACACACACACACACACACACACACACACAAACACACACACCTGTCCTGTCCTGTAGAGCCACTACCACTAGGGTCATGTGGGCCCCAGAGAGAGAGAAAGAGCACGCCACCCGATGGCGCTCCAGATGCGAGACTACAGTCAACTTGGCTAATAACGACTGCGGATATAACGACAATTCGCGAATAACGACAGAATTTCCATGCTCAGAGCAAAGTCCCATCCAATTGTAATACATATAATGGGACTTCGGATATAACGACACTTCGCGAATAAGGACACTTTTCTGATGCCCCGCCGAGTGTCGTTATACGCTTAGTTGACTGTAGTCGGAACCGGCGAGAGCAGATACACATATGCGGGAACTTGTCCCGTTCTCTGGCCATTGGACGTTGGCAGTGCGTTGAACAGCGTTAGCGGTTGCGTCCCTGGGTTGAGCGGAAACAACGATTGCAGATGTCACAGTGAGCATTACAGCAACTCCGAGCGGTAGTGTCACCGGTGACAACAGCAGCTGGTTCGGTCGGTACTGGGCACGAGGTAGAAGCGGAGCAACGATGCACAGCCAAGCCACCGCGGCTCGGGAACCAACGATGACACCGAGGGCACTGACATGCACCTCTCTGCTCCAAAACCGGCTTCTGCCGTTCAGCCGGGCACTTGTGCCTAGCGAGGTCGCCCTGACGTGCGAAGTGCTGGGCGCACATGAAGCAAGTCACCAGTGCCGGTACGAGGGGATCCGGGGCGTCCGAGGTGTACGCCAACCTCCAGTCTGGGCGAGAGTCACAGGCCACTCTGTACCAGTCCGCTTCAAAGTCTCGTAAACGGAGGTCCTTTACAGCGCAGTCTTTCCACCGCCGACGTGGGCCATGTGCCGGGCGACGAGATGGCAGGGTGCCGGACAGCAACTGTTTGGGTAATCGCACGTCGTCCATGCGGGTGACATGGCCTAGCCACTCGAGGCGCCGATGGTGACCCTTGGTGACGATGGTTTCAGAGTCAACCCACCACTCAAGCAGCTGGTTGTTTGATATGTGGTCATCCCAGCAACGATGGCGTGTGATACCCAATATCGACCGCACGCATCGCATGTGGAAAACAGACATGCGACGGAGGTCCTGCTTCAGCGGCGTCCAGCAATCGGACCCATACAGGAGCAGAGACAGGACACATACACACACACACACATGCACACACACACACACACACACACACACACGCACACACACACACTTGCACGGGCGTTGCACAGCCCAGTATGTAGACCTGCGAATGCTGGCCTGCAAAATGGTGCACAACGTGAACTTGAGTAACGCGACTGGATTTCATTGAGCAGCACTGTACTTTGTTGCATTCCCAACTCGTCACAACCACGCGCTCTCAGCCGAACCATAAAGAAAACAGCAAGGACACTTCCGTTGAGAGATAATATTTTTCCACGCCTCTAGACAGCTGTTTCGCTCCCTGCCGAAGCTCATCAGTAGAGGAGGATAATCATGACAATGGAGTGTAAAGGAATGATCATTCTTATACAGCAGATATGGCCCAATTGCGCACTTTCCACATAGAACAATGGCATATACAAGCTGCTAAATGGTAAATACACCATCATAATCACTACAAACAACATACACGTACTTTCCATGTACATTCCAGTGGCATCGGTATTCTCGCTTTATTGCAATCAGTTGTAGGGTCATTTCCGTGAAAGATTTGCGTCGCCTGCGTGGTGTGTAGTTCTTATCACTGTTCTCACATTTACCATTTAGCAGCTTGCATATGCCGTTGTTCTACGTGGAAAACGCGCACTTGTGCCATTTTTGCTGTGTAAGAATGATCATTCCTTCACACTCCATTATTATCATTATCCTCCTCTACTGATGAGCTTCGGCAGGGAGCAAAACAGCTGTCTAGAGGCGTGGAAAAAATATTATCTCTCAACGGAAGTGTCCTTGCTGGTGTCTTTATCGTTCGACTGAGAGTGCGTGGTTGTGACGAGTTGGGAATGCAATAAATTGGAGATATGGCCGAAAGCTCTGTCGCAATATTGAGCACTGTAGTTGTAATGCTTAGTGTAGATTGCTTGATCAGAATGGGTCTGATGTGAGTCTCACCAGCCGTGACCATTGATTACACAAGAGTTATTCTAGACAGAAGAAGCTGATCAGCAGACAAGTATGTACAGGTAGCTAGAGCAGTACTGAAATCAGTCTGATCAAACATCCACTGACAAGTGCGTGCACATCGCTAGAGCAGCACTGAAATCAGTCTTATCAAACATCCACTGACAAGTGCGTGCACATCGCTAGAGCAGCACTGAAATCAGTCTTATCAAACATCCACTGACAAGTGCGTGCACATCGCTAGAGCAGTACTGAAATCAGTCTTATCAAACATCCACTGACAAGTGCGTGCACATCGCTAGAGCAGTACTGAAATCAGTCTTATCAAACATCCACTGACAAGTGCGTGCACATAGCTAGAGCAGTACTGAAATCAGTCTTATCAAACATCCACTGACAAGTGCGTGCACATCGCTAGAGCAGCACTGAAATCAGTCTTATCAAACATCCACTGACAAGTGCGTGCACATCGCTAGAGCAGCACTGAAATCAGTCTTATCAAACATCCACTGACAAGTGCGTGCACATCGCTAGAGCAGTACTGAAATCAGTCTTATCAAACATCCACTGACAAGTGCGTGCACATCGCTAGAGCAGTACTGAAATCAGTCTTATCAAACATCCACTGGTCAATGGCTTACACTGCATATCACGCTTCTCCGACTTCCCAGACGTTGGCGTCTTCGGAGTTGCGCCTAAACAGGAACAGCATGCAAGGAAACAAGTACGCCGAATGATCACGTGCAAGATGTGATCTCCTGGCCACTATCTACAATGGCTAATGCTAGCTAATGCAGCTGCTACATTGTGCTGTAATTGTTGCCATTCACCTCAGTCGAAGAAAATATACCTTGGAAGACCACTGCTCCATTCCTACCAACAGGCAACGAGTATGCTGCTTGGAGATACACACGTACATTTTTAGGTATTGCTTGTATGGATTGGAGAATGGTATATCGCAGTGTCAGGATCATTCGAGCCAGTACAACCCCCCTCCCCCCCCCCCTCCCTCCCACCCTCCCCGCCCCGGCTACGGGTTCTGAAAAATTAGTTCGGAGGAGATAACACTATATGAGCTGCAAAGGTATTCGAGTGTGCTGCTGTAACCTTATTATAATCGTCAGTGCTGATGGCATGTGTGATGATTACGCACGCAATGTAAGTGGAAGATTTGAACGCTTCAAAGGATACTCGTCTATAGTCGACCTTGGGTGTAGTCAAGACCCTCGACAGTGCATGAGACCAGTGACATTATTCATGAGGCTGGAAGTATGCAGTCAAATGGTCACTAGGTCTGAAGATTATTTTAAAACGTTATTCACGAGGTTGACTGTACCAAAGACCTGGCCAAAATGAAATGCTCAGAAGATGTGGTCGTTGGGCGGCTGACTCGAATGGTCGTGGACCGAAGAGGTGGTTGTGTACCACTTCCGCTCGAATCGGATTCCAAAATGGCCGTATGCACTCAAAACGTCTGAACAGATCTCTGGCTAGCCTCTGTGATACCATCGTCAGCGGATTGCGGCGCATGGCATGCGTGAGTTTGAGTGAAATGCCGGTCCGGTGAGCAATGCATCCAAGCTGCAAGTTGGACCCAAGAACGTTCGATCGAATGTCAAAGCCTGTAGCTTTCTGGGCACTGGAGTGCATAGCCTGTTAGTCTGCAGTGCACCTTTTGTCAGAGACAGAAAACGTTGATAAGAGACTGCTTCAGGAGCTGCACCTGCGCATTGATCCTTGGGGGTGGTGGCGTTCCTACGGATGCGGAAAACTCGGTCTCCAGCCGATTCTCCCGCGAACCGTGAATGCTTTTAAGAGAAACTCCCCGGGGACCGGAGAAAACACCTGCCTTATCACGTACAGCCTACTGATCACCTTGAACTTCATGACAAAGTACAGAGTCCTGTACACAGTTGCAGTTGACATGCTGACTACCGCAGCAATGATAAAAGTATGTGTACAAATTGCCCCACGGGAACCGTTATGCCGGGCAGGGTTGAACATTTTAAGTAACTCTCAACCCAGGGCCTATTTATAATGTACAGTGAGGCGTCTTTTGTGCTTTGCTGTGCAAGGTTATTGTGTGAAACACTGTACTAGTACGAGTTTTTAAAAGATGTCGTGACATCGGCGGTATTTGATGAAGAAGGTGTCTGCCCCAAACGCCGGATCTTGCGCTTCGGCTTCTCGGGCTTCTCGTGTGCTCCAGACGCAGTCAAGAGTCAGTCAAGTGTCAAGTCAGTCAGCAGGAAGCGCAAGCTCCGGTGTTTGGAGCAGGCACTTTCTTCACATTATGAGTGCCCTTAAAATCCCAGTTCTATGCTTGCATTCATTGGTTTGAGGGAAAGACGTAAACGGGAAAAGTCTGAAGAAAAATTGACTGTCGCCACCAGGACTCGAACTAGGGACCTTCGCTTGAGGCTAGCGATGCTTTAACCTCTAACCATTGAGCTAAGCTGTCAGCTATGCTTACACATGATTATTTTTAAGCTTCCAAAAGTAAATGCGCAGCTTACTTGTACTTCTGGGAGTACGGGGGATTGCCGGCGTACTGGGTGTGGCTCCAGCGAGCATTGAACTAGTAGTGTCTTGCTGTGGCAAAGCCCGTGACATGCAAGGTGCACTTGCAAATGCAGACGCAGAACCTGAACACAAGGACAGGAAAGAAATCTACTTTGCATCAACAGTCGGGACGATCCGATAGAACTTGATTGGTGTGTGTACGCGTGCGTGCGCGCGCGTGTGTGTGTGTGTGTGTGTGTGTGTGTGTGTGCGCGCGTGCATGCGTACGTGTGTGTGTCTGTGTGTATGAGCAGGATGAGAAAAGCGAGAATTCCTATCCGCATGCATACTGTGAGTCAACAAATACTCGGCGCATAATTGTTTTCGGCTATTTTCGGCCTGGACATGATTGGGCGAAAAAAATTGCGCCCGAAAATTTGTTTAGCAGCGTTCAGTGTGACAGTGTATACAGACGGCAGCAGTACAGGCCGAACATTTGACGCGGCCAAAATGGGTTTTAGCCCTGGGAGGCCGAAATTTGAATGGGCCGAAAATGTGTAGACTTGCAGTATGCTTATGAGAGGGTTACCTGCGCACAGAAGTGCATGTACCGCTAGATGCGTATTGTCTGCACGGAGACGGGATGAATAATTGAACATCAATACGAAGTGAAAAGGCCAATTCCCATAAGCCTATTGGATAATTCCCCGTGTGGCAGAGAGCATGTGACCATCAGATTACATTCTACATTGTACAGTCCAGCTTTCCTATTACTGAGAAGCCGAGCTTACCAGCACTGGTGGTTCTTTGGCGGACGCCAGATGGCGTCGATGGTGCCATTGTCTCTTGGACAGGCACGGTGCATAGAGAGCCATGAGCAGATGCTGAACACAACGACAGGAAACAATCGACTTCACGCCAACTGCTGATCTGCAAAGATTTGCTACACATACACACGTACATGAATCAAACATTTTCTGCATGATTGTGCTTATAACAGCAACATGTGTGTGCATGTGTGCATTTGTGCATGCATTCGTGCATTACATTGCATTGCATTGCATTGCATGGGGACTGAAGACACAACAGTATGGCAGCCTGGTGTCTGCATTCTCAAACAAACCTGTGAACTGGAAATACCACAGCATCGCTCATCTGTAGGTCTGATCACATCCACAATACGCAGTCCACAGCAGCATCAGGCACCACACCCACCGTAAGTGGTCCACAACACTATCATGCACCATACCCACGGCACCGTACGTGGTCCACAGCACCATCGGACATCACACCCACCATAAGCAGTCCACACCACTATCATGCGCCACGCCCACGGCACCGTAAATGGTTCACAACACCATCATGCACCACAGCCGCGATAAGTGGTACAGAACACTATCATGCAAGTACTCAATGACTACCGAACAGGTACTTGGCCATCGGCATCCTTCTTGCACTTGTATATTAGCCCTTCCTTAGCTAAAGGTGCAAGAGCTGGAGATTGCGTATCTGTATAGACCGAACTTGTGCTTCCCCTGGCACAATCCACAAAGACAAACCAAAGAGATCGTACCCCCCTCCCCCCCCCCCCCCCCCCATTTTGCTTCTTCTTATGAAATCTCCTGCTGATAGCACACTTACATACTACAGCAGCACTTGGAGAATGACCATATGGCCTCTTCTCCGGAGAGGAACCTGGAATGAAGGAGACAATGAGCAAAGAAAGCTTCCTGTTCATCCTTCGTAAATCTCACAACTAGGCATAGTCGTGGACATCGAAGTCACTATGGTAACGTATCACACCGACTGGCCAGAGAACAGTCTAGGTAGGTTGAGTGAAGACTAAAAGAAGTGCCCTGACAGCACAAATGCATCTCGATATTTGACATAGGTACACTCAATGCGCACATGTCACTAGACGTGACATACATCTGTGTCAGCACCTCCCCCTCCCCCAATCAGATCGATCACTGATGATCATACATTCATCCCAGCTACAATGGCCTAGGTTCCCTGGCGGCATGTCCTCTGAAAGGCCAGAACCTAGCTAGAACTGAGAACTTGCACGACTAAGCTGGCATTCATCTCCTGAATTATCACTTTGCACAGTGCTTTGGGATCAGGTGTCCACTGACCTTGATCAAAACTAAGCCGCCTCCGCTTTTTCGGAGACACTTGACGCGGGGTACGCTGAGGTGAGCCTGGTGTAGCTGTGGGCAAAATCATGATGAACAAAAGCAGCTGAAAGACAATTCGAAAGTATTGAAAATATCTTGTGTAGCCATGGACAGAGTATGGGTGTGTACATTGTAATTTGCTCCGACAGGGTTACAATTAAGTCACGCTACACTTCTTAGCTGCGAGACACAGTACAGAGAATGATGTCAGCAGAAACAGTACTGTTGCAAGCGCCGCCATGCTGCTGTCGTGGACATGAAAATCCGGCCGGAGGTCAAGCGGCCCCCAGGGCGCTGGCCATGCAGCCGTGAGTACGCATACCATCAGCAACACATGTGCACTGCACGCAACGCTCTGTACGCACCGAGGGCGCTGGCCCCGGTCATTCGATCGGAGTTCTATTTCCATGACAGTAGATCTGTGGCCGAGCTATACACAGCTAGTGAAGTGTAACTGCCGGTCGGTGGAGCCCCTCGGGCACCTCACCATCACTGCTGCCCAGTGCAGCCCCTACTCAGTAGCTGTTTGTTTTTGTCCACATAATTATTTATTTTACGAGTCGGGTTTGTGAATAATAGTAAAAAAATAAAATAAAATAAACAAGCCATGCAGCTCCATGCTGCCCACCATGTCACAATTTCATGCACGCCATTCCTATAAATCTTACATAAATCACATGGAAATGTCATTTGAACCTGTCCTTAGTCCCGGAAATGTCACTCAGCAATGCAATCCAATACAATATTGCTATTTTACAAGTACTGTAATTCCGCGCATATAAGCCCATGGGCTTATATGTGAAATAGTGCAGTTTGGGGATAAAATATCCAGTAAATCATGTTCGTTTTTTGGCCCATGGGCCAATATTCGAATTTGAGGGTTCACGAAAAGTACAAGTCCGTGCTCATAGTGGGTCTACCATACTCTACTGGTAAACTGCACTGACCTGCAGGCTGCTGTACCATGGTAGCAAGAGTCCATATTGTGAAAAATTCTACTTGACACACGAGTCGCATTTGTGTCCGTTTATTAGCCCATGGGCTTATAAACAGAGGTGGGCTTATATCCGGATATAGGCCGGTGGGCTTATATCCGGATATAGGCCCGTGGGCTTATATGTGCGGAATTACGGTACACAATACTGACAATAGCCAAGTAGGAAAGTGTGTGTTCCCCAATTTAAACTGGAGCTCGCGCTTTTCCGCTGACTTGAATTGATACTTGACTGACTCACGACTGCCATCCGAGAGCATACTGTACCCATGGCAGGCCCGGCGAGTAAAACAATGAATACACTCTCAAGATTTGAGTGCAGGCACTTGCCTGCAAGGTGCCCGGTAGAGGGAAGTGTCCGGGTGTGAGGTTCCGGCTAAGAGAGCTTCTCCTGTACTCGTCGGGCCTGTCATGGGTGCAGTATTATTTTTTTCTCGCATACTGAGCCAGTAATAAATGTAAAAAAAAGAGAAGAAACACATGAGAACGAGTTATGCAGCAACTATCCACGACTGTAACAAGATGATAAACGGTCCTACGTAACCATGAACCTTCCAAGTTGGAAGGCTGTTGTTGTTGCGCACTGGAGATGTGTTAGAGCTAGGTCTCGGGTCGCTGAATGTCTCAGTAGCCTGTCAGTTTTGTGCCATATTATCGCACTTTCTGACCGTTTATCATCTTGTTACAGGCGTGGATAGTTGCAGCATAACTCGTTCTCATGTGTTTCTTCTCTTTTTTTACATTTATTATTTTTTTAATCATTTATTGCAACATCTCTAGGCTCTGTGGAAGCACCGGCCAACGTGAAGAGGGTGAGTCATAGCCAACCACGGCCACACATTGTACGCCCACTCATTTAGCATGTACTTCCCCGGATGTGCATAACCCTTGTCGGATAATGTCGGAAGAAAAATTGACAGATTGTGGTAGTTTTCTGGTATATTTCATGCATGTTTGGTATGTGGATAAAGAACCGGGGCAGAATTCAAGGAAGTGCGGGCCATAACTTGAAGGTTTGTATGGTTCTGCCAATTGAATTTCACAACTTTTCGAGCAGAATCTATCAGGTTTTAAAACATTATCCGCCAAGGGCTAGGTTTACATAGGATAACACGAGGACACAACGCTGGTATCATTGTTTGACTTAACACACTCAGAGCTCTCGCACCCAGTCATCTGAATCAGCAGAACATACCATTGGCTTCGGGGTACTTTCTGGGTGACCGGCGTAGCGGTGACGAAGCTGGATCTGCAGCGGTTGACTCAGACATGCATGGCTGGGACACTGTCAGTTCTTCTTCTTCGTTCTCTTCATCTCGAGACTGCTGTCCTTCCGCACACTTGGGTCGCCCTGAGCAACCAATAGCACGTTTGAATACACGTATACAGACTAGAGAAGGACCCGGCATAGGGCTCACAAGAGAGTGTGTGTGTGATACTCAGCTTGGCTAAAAACGTTTGTGACTCAATGTAGCTGAACCATCGAACCTTATTTGGCAGCTCTCCGTATTGTTTACCGCACGCGGCAGACTGCGCGGGTCGTGTGATGTGAGCTGCCAAGTAAGGTCCGATGGTTCAGCTACATTGATTCACAAGTGTATAAGAACTAAATATTGCGACAGAGCTTTCGGCCATATTTTCAATTCATTGCATTCCCAACTCATCACAACCACGCGCTCTTCAGCCGAACCATACAGATACCAGCAAGGACACTTCCGTTGAGAGATAATATTGCTCCACGCCCCTAGACAGCTGTTTCGCTCCCTGTCGGAGCTCATCAGTAGAGGATGATAATGATGATAATGGAGGAATGATCATTCTTATACACCAGAATAACATCAACATCATAATATTAAACAACATACGTGTACTTTCCATTGGCATCAGTATTCCGAGTAAGATTTTCGTCGCTTGTGTGGTGTGTTTCTCCACCAATTAGCGTGTACTATGATTATTTATTGCTGTTCTCACACTTTACCATTTTAGCAGCTTGCATATGCCATTGATATATGTGGAAAGCGCGCACTTGCGCCATTTCTGGTGTATAAGAATGATCATTCCTCCATTATCATCATTATCATCCTCTACTGATGAGCTCCGACAGGGAGCGAAACAGCTGTCTAGGGGCGTGGAGCAATATTATCTCTCAACGGAAGTGTCCTTGCTGGTGTCTGTATGGTTCGGCTGAAGAGCGCGTGGTTGTGATGAGTTGGGAATGCAATGAAGTGTATAAGAACACGATATTGAAGGCGTTGAAGTCTATACTATAGTACGGTTGGGTGCCGAAGAATTGGCGGATCAGCCCAGGCCCGGCAGAATTGGTCCGGTTGCTTTGGCCATGGCGGCCGGACCAACGTTTTGGCCACCAACGTGTGTTTACTGCTGAGGAGGTCATGTGTATACCCTCCATATCATACACAAACTGTATGAAAGTCATGTGTACACCCTCGGCTCCATATCATACACAAACTGTATGAAAGTCATGTGTACACCCTCGGCTCCATATTGTAAAGTTCGATCCTTGAACTTTGTTACTTATCTCGAGCACACACACCCAACATGCGAGAGCATTCTATTTTGACTTCACTTCTTGGGAACATAAACAACAAGAACAAAGATATGCAAATCACTCCAGATTATCAGAACTGGACGGAAGGTGCTAGAAGCAGTAGAAGAAGATAGAAGGATCCAGAACCGGATGTGTACAATACGATGACAAGCTAGACCACATAGGTTGGTTGATCATGAACGCGTGTCATGTGCAGGTAAGCCGTACATGGATGGAGTGTCATGCGATGGCATAGCAAGGCACTAGATGACTGTGCATGATAATTACAAGCAACACATACAACTCATGTGTAGCACATGCAACACATATCATACACAAACTGTATGAAAGTCATGTGTATCCCCTCCATATCATACACAAACTGTATGAAAGGCTAGGGTATGGCCGGGCTAATCAAAAACTGCTTGCGCCGGTCATGTCAGCCTTGTAGCCTAGTCCGCTCCTGTTTTCATATACAGCAGTCTATGCGCAGTGGAGTCACCGCCCTGCATGGGTATGTCTCGGTACGCTGTGCTTGGTGAAATTCTAGCCTGGTCGCTCGTTGGCACTCCATTCTTCGGCACCTCAACAGTACGGTAGTGTCGGCAGGTATGGCTGACTAGTCCATCCCATTATCATGCATAAGGAGTGTGGCAGCATACTGGCATTCGGTTGTGTACAGTTCTGTTTCGCAAAGCCTCCCATTCTGTTTTTATCTTTGATATTTCTTATAGCCACCCAAGTTGGGTGGTCAGCTGCTTTGCTGCTTCGAATTGTAGCTAGACCGCTTTGTCAAGTGTCTTACTGATCTCATCATCGTTCAGTAAAAGTCGACAGTAATTTAAATGTTTCAAGCGAGCATTGAGAAGGAGTGAGAATTGTTACCTTTGGTACATGTAAACTGGTCAATTTTAGGAAATCGTTATTATTGCGCCTCTTTAGAATAAAAGCTTTTACAGTAAAAAATAGTTTATCTCTTACCTATACATGTATGTCCCTTTCCTTTTTACATAAATTTAGTACCGCATCTGTAAAAAAAAGTGTAGCCTTTCTCAGCCTCCCAACGGGCGCTAGCCGTGTGTGCACCACCATTGCCGTCATCATGGTCATGACAAACGACTCCGATACAGCTGCCACACGTGTAGCGTCTCTGACGTCCTCGCATCATGATATCATCATTTGTTTGCATGTACACGTCATATTTTCCTCATCATCACAAACACTGATTCACCATACTCTCGCACACATTGTAATACCTACTACACGTACTTCGCTACCATAATAATTACGTAATGTTTGGCTAGCATAGTTCCAATACACATTACGACATCTTTTGATGTTAAGCACTCCTCGCCTACAACGCTATTGTAGAAAAGTAGTCTTTACTCATCTCTTGTAAGTTCTGTTTGCATCCAAACACTTCTTCCAAACAGCGCACGTCAGATATCTAACAAAACAACAAACTTCATTGCACAGTCTTCTATCACAATCTCTTTCCTATATAAACTTCCTTTCTCTTCACTTTCTTCATGACATTTAGTGTTCGCCAGTCTTGTAAAGATCTTGGAAACTAACACTCGTTGCACTGTATCTAGACTACCAAATTGGTGACCCCCGACGTGAGTAAAGTGCAATATGTCCAGCGACGCTGGTTCTTCCGCTTCCGCTCGCTTTCGGGCAGTAAGTCTCTAGACCCGACTATCCTGCGCGAGCTGTTTGTACAGCGTTTGCCCGTGACGGTCCGCCTGATTCATGGCTGCAACACCTGCAAGCCTCAACCTGGACGACCTCGCCGCGCTTGCTGACAAGGTGGTTGAAAGCACGTGCTCAACCCCACTCACCGGTACAAGTGTTCACGCTCTGAGTGCAGCCCCTAGCCCTGCTCGGTCTAGTACGGCCTTATCATGTAGATCTACAGCGTCCACAGATGCGGAACAGGCCTGCACCGCTGACAGGGCTGAGATGGCCCAGCTCCGAGCTGAACTCGCCAAGCTGACGTCCGCTGTGAATGTGATGACCCGTGACACCGGTGCCCCTTGCCAGCGTGGCCGCCAACGAGAGCGTAGTCCCGGGCCACCGTCACGCCACCCAAGTGCCTCCAGGTCTCCCGGCCGTGACAATCACGACGACCTTTGCTGGTATCACCGTGCGTTCGGTGCAAAGGCGAACAAATGCCGAGACCCCTGCCGATTCCTGTCGGGAAACGGGAAGGCCAGCCACTAGTCGCGACCGCTAGTGTGGTTGGCCCCTCGAATACCGCTACCGGTCGCCTACTATTCGTCAAGGATCGCTCCCAGTCCGTCGAGTTCCTTGTCGACACCGGCGCCGCCGTCAGTGTTCTTCCTCCGTCATTCGTAACTCTGTCTCGTCGTGTTCATCGCAATAGTCCTCGTCTCCGCGCAGCGAATCAGAGCAGCATCGCCACGTACGGTCAGCAGCTGCTAGATTTAGACTTAGGTCTCCGACGCACTTTCAAATGGGTCTTCGTCGTTGCTGACGTCAGCTATCCGATCCTGGGTGCGGATTTCCTTGGCCACTTCCAACTCACTGTCGACCTGGCCGCCAGATGTCTGCGGGACTCCACTACTCAACTTGCCGTTGTCGGATTCGCCTCGGATGTCAGCACCTCCGCTACCAACCTGCTGGACACTGACAGCCCTAGTGAGTATTCTGCCCTGCTGAGTGAGTTTCCTGACCTTGTCCGACCGACCACTGGTGACTCGCCTGTCAAGCACAATGATTGTGACACACCGCATAGTCACAGATGGCCACCCCGTCCACGCTAAGCCTCGCCGTCTGGCACCCGACCGCCTTGCTGTCGCTAAGTGTGAGTTCCAACACATGTTAGATTTAGGCATTATTCGTCCCTCCTCTAGTGCATGGTCATCCCCTCTGCATATGGTGCCAAAGAAATCCGGTGACTGGCGACCCTGTGGTGATTACCGAGCCTTGAATGACTGCACGATCCCCGACCGCTATCCCATCCCGCATATTCAAGACTTAACGTCCCACCTGCATGACAAGATCATTCTCTAAGATTGACCTCGTCCGTGCATACCACCACATTCCTGTGCACCCTGACGACATCCCGAAAATTGCCATCACCACCCCCTTTGGACTGTTTGAGTTTGTCCGCATGCCCTTTGGCCTTCGCAACGCAGCCCAGACATTCCAACGCTTCATTGACCAGGTAGTTTCAGACCTTCCCTTCTGCTTTGCATATCTGGATGACTTGCTCATTGCTAGCGCCTCACCCGCTGAACATATGGCCCACCTTCGCTGCATATTCTCCCGCCTTGCTTCACATGGCATCTTGATCAACGTCCGGAAGTCGCAGTTCGGCCAGGATGAGCTTGACTTCCTGGGACATCACGTGACTGCCTCAGGTATCCGACCTCTCGACGCTCGCATGACCGCCATTCGTGAATTCCCACAGCCAGCTAGTGTTCGTAAGCTCCGTGAGTTCATCGGCTTCGTCACGTTCTATCACCGATTTCAGCCACATCTTGCTGCTAAGCTCGCACCTCTGCACGCTATGCTTGAGAAACGCCACCGCACCAAAGGCGCGCTCGTCTGGTCCGACTCGGCCCTCGCTGCTTTCAATGATGTCAAAGCTGCGTTCACTGATGCCATCACACTTCACCATCCTCGCCCGGATGCCGCCTACAGCTTGATGGTCGACGCTTCAGACATTGCTGTTGGTGCCGTCCTCCAACAAGAGCTAGATGGTGAGTGTTACCCTGTTGCCTTCTTTTCACGCAAGTTAAAGCCTGCAGAGACACGCTACAGCACCTTCTGTCGAG